TTGGCCCTCCTTATCGCAAGTCGATGTGGACAAACGGTCTGTACTTCGCCGTAACAATCACTGTGCAGTTCTAATTTGATGCTATTATGTAGGTTGGCTGATGGCATCAGTCACTGGTTTATCGCTCCTGAATTTGTTGGTGCTGTTACAACCTCCGAAGCCCCTTAGGTTGATTCTTGAGTTGATGCCCCTCCCGATCTCTGGCAGAGCATGGCTAGGGGTATTTGCGCTCACCAATATTTTTGTTTCACTTGCTTTCGAGCAATGGGCCACCCAATTCATCTCACAGGTGATTGGCGTTTTGATGAACCTGCATCTGGAGAAGAAAAGATATCGCGAGGGAAAAGCGTACAAGGCTGTGGAGGGTGGAATGCAACGTTGAGTGTAAATACCTGTGTGGATATAGATATCATGATATTGCCTGTTGTCAATGAGAACGGGCGCTGCAACTTATGATCCGGGACCGGAGAGTTTCCTATTTAGTCTGACTGATAGAAGGTGGCCATTGCAAGGACACCCTCCATTATCTTTGCCTTCAACGCCCTGGTGGCATCATCTCGTACTATTCATTTCACCTTCAACTCCATCTTCTTGCTGGATTCGCTGAGGAACTAAGAGCAGGCCTCTTCACTCGTTTAAATCATCAACTTCTTTAGCAATAATGTTCTCCAAGCTTGCATTCTGTTCCTACCTCGCGTTGTTTTCGCTAGGCTTTGCCAATGCACTTCCATCTGGTGAAAACGGCGCTATCGTTCGTCGCCAAGTAGCAACTTCCTCTGGCCTTGCAATACCCCCTGCAGTCACCACAACGATGTCCATCCAAACGTGAGCCAAAGCTAGTCTTCTTCCAGCGGTCGTGAGGCTAATCCTCACAGTGCAAATGGTCCTATGAATGAGGTCTGCGTCCTCACATTCACCCCCGTTGGCAATCAAATCCAGGAGGTCCAGAATTGCACCATGTCGACGGGCGCGAATGTCGTATCTAGCATGGTTTTCAATTCAGTCACTTCGGGCAGTGTTGCGTCTACTTCAACCGTGAGTCAACTGTCTCCTGCCAGCCGTCTCATCAAGATTTACGGAATTCGTTTCTAGAGCGCTTCTATGTCTGCAACCCCTACCGTTCAAGCTGCGTTCTCCATGCCTGGGAGGTCATTGCAGGTGTTACCGGTGGGACTTGGGGTGTTTGGGAGTATCACGGGTATCACCATCATTATCGTAGCCTTGGTTACTTTTGAGCGTGTTCGTTATCGCAGGGTAAGTCCCCCCATACACTATCTGCGACCGTTTACTGATCTGTTGTCACACAGGTCTTCAGGGAGCGTAGACTAGCCGAGCAGGGTGCTATGATGGGTTACACGGGTAACTCAAATGATATTAAGGTCTAGGGTAGTGCGATTCTGCAAATCCGTCACCTTGGTCTTTTTGTTTCACCATCAATCGGTGGTCATTATTCAGCTACGCTTATCAAGCTGTCAACGTTCTCGCTGTGCGTTGAAGATAGTAGCATCAGCACTGTAGTCCCTGGTGGCATCTCAGGCTGGTTCACATGCACTTACTTCATGCAGAAACTTGAAAGGGACTGTGCTGCAATGGGAAAATTACTACTATCATAACGGCGCCAGCGCCAGCCCCCGACTCGTTTATTCCCGGCATGTTTTATGTCCATCGAATTTGAGTTTGCAAGGCCCAGACTCGTCAAAGTAAGACCAAACAGGTTTACGGGGAACTGAGAAAACAAATGTGTGGCTCTTTTTGAGTCCAACAACTGGCATAGGATAGTCAGGTCACATTAGATCTGAAATCTCATCCAAGATTGATCGCCCAAGTAGATTGCCTTTCCCCTTTCTTCCTTTGCCTTCGTTGCTGCAAGGATATGCACCATCGCAATCCACGTCGCAGCTTCGGCAACGAAACGCCCTGGGCACCTAAATAGATTGTGAGAAGATCATTCCTGAATCACCCTCACCTTCCAAGACCCCATATCGGATTGGTCGTAATAGTGTCTGGCAAGAGAGCCTACATGACACATTAGTAGGGATGAAAACATAGCGAATCGGCCGATTAACCTTTTGGAATGAAATAGCCCTCAAAGACATCACTAATGATATGTACGCCATGGACGCACTCTGTCAATGTTCCCAAGGAGTGGCAGTTATCATAGTCCTGGCGGAAGGGGAAGCCCAGCTGACTTCCCTAACCAGGAGTCCGGGACCAGCGATACAATAGTAATAACAAGACGGTTACGGCGAGGATATAGAGTAATAACATCTTCACACCGTGTACTGAATATGGTGCTGGGGTGGGTAACGGCGTGATTCAGAAAGCCAACCGTCGCATTCAGGGCAGAGGAGCTTATTTGTACTCTCTTGATTGGCATGGGACGTCCGAGTCGTATCAAAGCTTTAAATTTGAAGGCTCCTGCCGAATAAGATACGATACAGTCACGATGCTAACCTTGGGTGTTTCACGCGTGCTGTGGGTCCGAAAACCAAGCGGAGACGCGGTCCCAGATGGCTGCAATTTAAACTGAAGCGAGGAAGTGCAGTGTGGTCTGGGGGTCTTTTCATTGTGAATGCCGTGCCTAGGTGTCCAGACTTGGTGTGCTCAGGGTTGTTCGAGGGAACCGAGTAAGATCAGAATGGAATGACAACAGGGTACCACTTCCGAGCAATAGAGGAACGTGGGAATGTAGATGACTAAGCAGAGGTACTGTACAGTTGCTTCGAGTCCTGAACTTTAATCTTTGGTTACCCCAAGGAACAGCTATCAGCTTCCTCACCTTCGTCATGGCCCCCAAGCTCGTCCGTCTGCTCTCCTATTTTGTGTTTGTCGTGCAGTTTCTGACCATCATATTAGGACCCCAACGAAATCAAGATCATCTACCTACGGGCAACAGGGGGTGAAGTTGGTGCATCTTCAGCACTTGCCCCGAAAATCGGTCCTCTCGGTCTGGTGTGTGTCTGGAGTTTGGTAGCAAATAATTCAGGAAGCTGAGGCATAAAACAGTCACCCAAAAAGGTTGGAGAAGATATCGCTAAAGCTACCTCTGCATGGAAGGGTCTACGTGTGACTGTCCAGCTTACCATCCAGAATCGGCAAGCAGCAGTCTCCGTTGTTCCTTCCGCTTCTTCCCTCGTCATCCGGGCACTAAAAGGTGCGCATTTTTGTTTCTATTCCATCCCTGTCTAATATTGCTTATTCTAGAGCCTCCCCGTGACCGGAAGAAGGAGAAGAACATTAAGCACTCGGGCAATGTCACTCTTGACGAGATCTTTGAAATTGCCCGAACGATGAGGTCCAAGTCGCTAGCAAAGGACTTGGCTGGCGGTGCGAAGGAGATTCTCGGCACGGCCCAGAGTATTGGCTGCACAGTAGATGGTCAGACCCCACACGATGTCATCGATGGTATCAACTCCGGGGATATCGAGGTGCCGGATGAGTAAAAGATCAAACACAGGAACTAGTGTTTTGAGTATTTTTATATCACTCGCCATGGTTTTTTTTTTTGACATTACTGCATACATTGATACATCCAAACACTCACATGTGCATTGCATCGGAGAAGAGGGTCGCCTGGCCCGGGTTCGACAGACGGCCATGACCAGAGCAAAAAAAAGACAAATTTCAGATGCTAAGTGAGTCAAAGTTACGAATAATCGAGTATGGCTGTGACAATCGTGAGCATCGCACGCCGCAAGCACACTCAAAAACACGGCTGCTCTCAGGTTGGTCGAACAGGATTCTGTAGAACAGTTAGAGCTATCATGATGTAGGCTGACTTTTAAACACGTGATTGACGCGTCGCGCTCGGGTTTTTATTCATCGTCACCTGTACTGAAATCAACCGTACCGTGAGATATATCGTATCACTACCCTCGGGCCTCAATCTGTCAATTTTCGCCAATTGTAAGCACCTATTAATCACATCCGACAACATCAACTCCCGTCGATTGTAACCGTCTTTCAATTGCATCCCACACTACCCTCGTAGCCTGCGATGGCGACGACTTGGACATATTCGCCGACGACGATTCAGATACAAAAGATATCAAGTCGTCTGGTGGCGAACAGACTTTCCACGAAGTAGGAACATCATACCTAAATTGACCATCGCCTGACATTTTAATTATTACTACAGGACAACTATTTCATGCCTACCAACGACCACCGGGTTGACGTACGACCCCAAGCACAACAACTATCGACATCATTAGTCCCCTTTCCCGCAGAATCTGGTACCACTTATCCTCGTCGATAAATTCCGAACAGCACTTACATATACTATTATCAACATCTCTCTTCCTGGCTCCGCCGGTCTCCGAGTCACGCACGCCTCGCTTCAGACGAACTTGGCCAACTCCATCCATAGTAGTCCGTCCCTTCCAAGATGACCCGACGAGAATAATACGACGCTATCACGACCATCTCATGGCACGTATCACGATACTAACCATCAAGCAAGATCCCTTCAAGACAGCACACGAACGACGCTCACCATAGCCCACAATTTTCAAAACACTCAGGACACCCATGACGCTACGATACCATCGAGACGTATCATGACACTCACGCCACCGCGATGCTATCAGGAAAGACCACTTCATGACACTCACCACTGATGTCATCAAAACGCTCCCCGTCATCGTCAGGAAACGCCGTCTTCCCCAGCGAGACGTGTCTTGACTCACTTCGGAGAACCGAATGACCTCGTCGGATAGACAGTTCGCTAAGCTTGTTTTATATCTATATTATTTGTTTCCCTGACTTGCGCATTTTTGTATCTAATGATCCGTCTCGATGATGAGTTCTTTGCTTGCTCACACATCCTTGGATTGAAAGTTATGATGATCCAGAGTCCATATTCAGGAGGTAGTACACGAAAACATCCTCGATGCTCGCTCGGCCTCGCTGAGTCGGGAAGGACAGCATATCTATAGCTACAGAGATTTTAATTCGTTGATCTACCTACCATTTGAAGTTTTTGAACGTTTGAACTTTCGTCGTGGCCATGTCAATAATATTGCTCTGCCATAGTAAGAAAACATATATGTATTATTATTTTGATGTATTTGTACGGGCGCGCATTGAGAGTACGAGCGGGAATTATCATGAAGTGATGATGTAGTGCAAATATAAGAGGTGAACAGCCTAAGTTCACATATTTTCCATTGATCGACTGGACAAATACTGCGCATCAACCGAGTGCAGTAGTTTAACAAACCGTTTCCAAGTCTTCTCTGTAGGAGCGGCCGTACTGTCAATCTCGTTCATGACATGCGGATCCTGATACCTGCGCCCATACTTGCCGTAATGGCCGACAAGAGTGAGAACAGTTCGACACTCCTCTCCCCATTCGAGACTGAGGTTCAAAACACGCCAAACATGTCGCTACGTAGCAGAATGAATTAAGACCGCACTAGATCACGGACTGGAGACTCACTCTCTCAACCCTGGAGTTCGGTGCGCCATCCCAGTGTGATGGCGTTTTCCTATCTTCGTGTTCCTTAACTCTGTTTTCGACGTAATTCAAGGACCACAGGACGTCAGAAACGCGCTTTGGGCCTCCATGAGAGATGATCGACATGCATCGAGGCCATTCCTTGTCGCCCTCTATGTCCGATCGAATGAAATTGGCAATCGCATCATCCCTCTCATCCACTGTCTCAGCATGGCGCCCAGGAATGGGGGGCGATATTTCTCGTATACCGTCTCCATCAGATGAGGAGCTTTCTTGGTCTCCATGCCTCGATTGTCTCGCTCGATGCGGCGTGCGACTAGGAGAAGGAGTCTTCTGGACCGAACTTCGTGGTGCTTTATTTTGAGGTAATGAATGGCTTTGGGAGGGTCGTTTTCTCTTTTTGGGGCAGTAATCACTTTGTGACAACAAATCGATGCGCGTATCACGTGTGACGCCTGAATACATTGGCTGTCTCGACATTTGCTGTCGAGGGGGTGACACGGCATTATCGGAGTCAGAGCTAGACATCTGTGGCAGTTCAAGGGGAAGCCGGGGAGGTGGAGGTAATCGACCTTTTGGGACAGGCTAAGAAATGAAATCAGCGCATCTATTTGGCAGATCAGTGCGTCAAACTGTACGTACAGCTTCGACGACGACTTCAAGTGTGCGCTCTTTGCTCACACCAAGATTGCACGATTCGGCTTCGAGGACGTTATCAGCATCCACACGCATGAAGAACTGGCGATATTTTCCACGAAGGGTGTACACCCTCGCAGGACCTGAGAAACAAAATTACAACCACGAATTACTAGTCAAGGGTAACATACCATCTATCCGTGACGGTCCAGCTTGCAAAGTTTCACAGACCTCTTTTGCATTTGCCCAGAAACCACCGTCTGGGTCTTCCCCTGGCCGAAGAACCACTTTGATCTCTGCAAGCTGGGGATCTGGGACTCCACTTCTGACATCCTCGATGAGGAGCGTTAACATCCGAAGAGGTCGCGCTGGTCCTCCAGAGGGTGGAGGTGCTACCGATCGTTCTTGTACAGCTGCGGAAACGTTAGATCGGGGAGCAAGGCGAAGGCTACCAGCTTACAAAAAGCCGGTCGCGCAGTTTCTTGAGGAGATACTGCACTTGTGGAGGATGAGCGTGAATCTAGGTTTGCTTCATAATCGCGACGGTAATGTGCTCCTGGGCGTGGGTAATGCATATTGGAAGGAGGCGGTTGAAGTTGGCGGCTAGAGGCTGATGACTGAGCTAAAGAACCAAGGCCCTGAGCGGTGCGTTGCCCAGTTGATTTCTTATTCTGTTTACTCTTGGCAGGAGTGACAGGTCCGCCAATTTGGCCCGGGGCGCGACTACGACTTGAACCTATGTTATTGTATGCCCCCGGTACCGCATGATACGGACTGCGTGGACCGGACACTATTGTGGAAGACGCGGCCGAGGAATGAGCTTCCCCAGGTGACGCGCCATCGGCAACTGAAGGGGTAGACATGGTGATACTAGCGCTAGGCGATGCAGCATTGCTGATACGATACATCGAGGAATACGGACCTCCGCCAGTATATAGTGTGGGCTGTGTTAAGGGTTCTGGTGTGTGTGCTGGTGTGGGCTCGGGTACCTGAGAGAGTCTAAACCGGCTCGTCTGAGCGGAGTACTCCGGTTTGGCTCTCCTTTTCTTTTTCTTAGGTAGCGCCTGTCCTGGGAGAAATTGTATTGCATTTGGATTTGAGGGGAGGACAGCTTGGTAGGTGTTGACAGTTGCAATGGGGAGCACAGACGGCTGCCATGAGAATCCAACTGCCTGGCGAATCAATGGCGCTGGGGTACCATCTCTGGAAGATGTATCCGCATTACTTTCGACTTGTGCAGGGACTACGAGGGTCCCATCGTCAGAATTTGGTGTGAAAGACCGTTTCTGTCGTTTCTGTAAGGTTGTATGGTATATGTGAGACAACTGCATGGCCATGACGAGTGGAAGAAAAGAAAAGACACGTGTGAGGAAGAGAATTATTTACTTACAGCAGCGGGGGAGGACTCTCTGCTGCTCCTAATAGCCTCGTGTGATTGGTAAGTGTGCAATTGATATTGGCCAGAAGAGACTCGAGCACTCACGATAATGACGCACTGCGTCTACCGTATCCTATTTGTGCATCGTTTTCGCTGCCCATTCGCTGTACGAGTACTTTTACTTGTGAAAGGAAATTGTTCCAGGTAGAGAGACTGCCAACTGGTGAGACGAGGTAACCACCTCGCCGTTTAGCTGCTGTGGGTTACTGTGGGTCCCAGATGACGATAAGTAAATTTAGTTGTGAAATGGTTCATACAAGTGCGATCTAGTGTATGCCCTTCTTAGCAGGAAGTGAGCGAAACTGTGGATCACGCCAAATAGAATGGACCTACAAAACGAAATCGCAGAACAGGTTGAAGCAACAAGAAAGGAAACTCGGTACCAGTCACTTGTCCCAAACATGGAATCACCCCTGATTCATTACTTAGATATGATACCTCACGCACCAACTTACGTGAAGACTGCTTATCCCCGTGTTATTAGCTCTGTCAATGTCCGAGGTAGACACGTTGTTTGTTGGTCAATGTATGTACTTTACATGATTCATATCATAAATTCCAGTGCACCAAAGCATACACGATATCAATATCGTTCGATTACGAAAACTGGTCAAGAAAATGGGGAATTTTTGTACAGAGCTGGCAGCTTCAAGGGAATTATGGACTTCCGTAGATCCTCCTTGCATTTAAACTAAAGATTGCGTCGATTGCGTCCTGGTCCACCGCAAGCTCTGCAAATGACTCGCGTACAAGCGCATACCAGTCTGCGGGGTTCAGGAGCGAGGGTGCAGCAAAGGAAGGCGAGGTTCCAAAAATAATACGTTCGTAGCCATACGCTTCCAGCACCGGACCAACTGCCGGATGTTCGTCACATTGTACCAATATATGAAATATATGCGCAAAAACTTACTGAACATCTTGATTTTTCGTTTCCATTCACGATGTTGATCCATTTCTGAAGTTGGATCTGCGGGACCTGGTATGGTTTGATTCCACATGGGAGGCGTAAACTTTACATAGAGATTCGGAAACAATGACAAGGATGCAGTGTGTGCCTGGTAATTGCGATAACTTGGATCAGCAAGGAGCTTGACGATCGGCAGGCTTAAGTCATGGGGTGGCGGTAATATATTGGCTGGAATTGGGTCAGTTCCAAACACTCACCCTAAGGGTAAAAATAATGCTCACAAAGAACTATGGAAACCTTCCTGTCTCCGGCAAGTTCGGCCGTGGCTTTCATGAGAAGGTCCTCGAACACTTCATACTTTGCGACATTCGACATGATGTCACTTTGAACGTCAATATCAACGAGACGGCTGTTTGAGAATGCCCATCTCAAAGTCTCGATGGCCTGAGATCTAGCTTCTGGAGCCTCGTGCGAAGCCGCGTATGAGGTGTATAAAGACTGGGGAATTCCAGATGACTCTGAGTGATCTGGATAATCCGATGGGATGGCGCTAAGCTCGAAGGGAGTTGCCACGGAAAGTATGCGAACATTTTGCGTGAGAGAAGATTGCAACAGTCTTTCGTAACCAAGATAAGGAAATGCAGAATTTCGTCAAAGTCAAAAGCTTACCCTTCTGGTATCGAAGGGTCGTTTAACAATAAAACGGCACCCGCGACCTCAGTGCCAGCCAGATCAAGACCAGCCCTTTCGAGTGCATCAGACCGCAGATGAGCGTCAATGACTTCGCCTGGAAAGAGCGCACTTGGAGTTGGAGGCAAAGGGAACATGTCAGAAGTCCCTGTGCTCGGTGGGCTGAACGCAGACAGAGGTAAACTCGGGAGGTTCTTCGGCCTGCGACGACCACTTGCCAGACCAGGCGATGGAAGGGGTTGCGCGAAGCTCATGATGAGGAAGAAAATTGAATGAAACTGGTCCTGTATATAAGTGCACTGGTGCAGGGGGCACTGTCTAGTGTCTGTAAGAGTTCAAGTTGATGTATCTGATTGCAACGATCAAAGCATGATTGATCTGAACCGTTGATTGATAATATATGCATAATAATGAGTATAATCACTGCAGATCGTAGTCTATTCCCACGCACAAATGCTTGTTCCAGACCACCGGCAAGCAAACAAACTACAAGTAAAAGCTATGTGATGCACTATTGTCATTAAATTCATCAAAACGCTTAGAATCTACTGAATGAATCACAGTAACCCTTGAGCGGATTCAAAGTATTCTAATAGCCAAGATTTCCTGCGCGGCGCTCGTGTCTGGACAAAATATGACCATCACTGGCAGTCACGCGTAAACGATAACTGAAGGTGCGTTATATCTTTGTCATAAAAAAGTCCAGCGTAAGATGTGATACGCAACGGGTATATTTTGTTAGATCTTCATCGGGTCATATCCAGTGTCATGGTACAGTGGGCGTTTCAGCCATACTGGACCGAGTTAGGCTGGTGATATTCGGAGGACTGCGGCTGCATGCATTCGTTTCATATTTGCGCCTTTTTTGTGCCTTACAGAAATACTTGCTTAATGGCAAAGTATTGATGTGACGGGTCAGAACTCACTGTATAACCATTTTCATCGACTTCTGCAGTAAAAAAATTGTCAAAAAGCGCAAGCTGACGTTCTTCGTGCAGACCTTATTCTAGGCCATTTTCGAATCCCTCTTTCCGACCCATTATGCGACCCTGCTTGAATCCCGACTCTCGGCCTTCGCGGATGCCATATTGTCTACCTTCTTCGAACCCATCCTCCCTGCCGTCGTCATAGCCCTCCGCATACCCAGCATCCCAACCCTCGTTATGCCCGGTTACGAACCACTTCTTCCGACCATATATCGGACTTTCTTCTATTACTTTCTCCTTTGCTTGCTGCCTGCTAAGTTCAGTTTGAAACTTTCTTGCAGTATCCCGCGCTCGTGATGCGCTTTCATCGGCTTCATTTCTTTGCCTCTCTAAGACGCGGATGTCAGCCTGAAGTTTTGTAACCTGTTTTTCGAGGCTTTCGATGCGCATTTGATGTCGCCGCATCTCTTCGCCGGCCCTCTCAGCATCGAGTTCTGCATAACGCTTGCCCGTTTCAGCGGCACTGACGCGCACAGCCAGCTCCCGCGCTCGGAGTTCTGCGAATTCTGCTTGAGATTCAGCCTGCTTTGCCCTGCGCATTTCCTGATCAAGCCTGTCCCCCGTCGACCGAAGGGTCGATCTAAGGTGCTGTGCTTGCTTTTCTTCTTCTGCCACCACTAGATTCATCAATGTAGACGCAGAGTAGAAGGGTTCATGGTGTTGTGAGCTAGATGACTGTCTATGACTCTTCCTCCCGTCAACGTTGTGGAGCGTGTTGATAACAGCAGGGTCTTTTAATAATTCTTTGAGGGGTGTAGAGGTCATTGTTGCTGCACGTATCTGTGCCATGACGTCAATTCTGTTATAGTCTGGTGTTTTTCCTTTGCTGAATAGCGGGGGAGAGGTGGGCAAGTTGACATCGCTGTCAAAGGTGAGATGCTCGTGAAAGCGAGACGGGGACATCGGTTTGTTGGCGCAATAAAAGATTGGTACAGCTTATAAGGATTATAGTTGTTTCTGGAATCTGTAGTGACGCTGCGTTCATCTGTGCGCAGTTGCTGTGCCCAGGCGGTATACGACCCCACCCGTGGTGTGCACGTGTTGATTGACATGCTAGTTTGGTGATTGTGCATAGCAACACAATCTAGCGTTCTAAGCGCTGTATTGCTTCCCTCGTATATGCGGGCAAAGTCCATGATGCAGGCGATTAACTGCGCGCGCGTAAGTGTACGGCTTTTTGACTGCATACCTCCTCGAGGCCATTGATACAGCATCGTGGTGTTTACGTCAATTCAGAAAAAGGAAATAAGTTCCCATAGATCTGACATCGATCTCCTTGTGAACTCCGAAGCACTTTAAATTTGTAATAACTTACAGTAATTCGTTTGCATCTACCTCTTGCTCAAGTATTTCTTGGATAAACTCGCAGAATGTCTCTCAAAGCTGTAAGTCCGAGTGTTTTATTCATTTTCCTGTTCTTGACTTGCTGCGTGTAGATTGTAAAATGTGTGTGCACAGACATGTTTCGTTCTGCGCATCCTGTTAATCCTAGGGCATGAAACCTAGCCGTCATCTCCGGCGACACCCTCGTTTTGCGTGGACGTACAGGACCACAAGGGCAGAGTCCTAAGGAGAGGTATGCAAATCAGAGAAGTCCAATGGGAAAGCGACACGGTCTGACCCGCTACATTCCGCAGAATCCTACATCTTGCTGATGTCGTGGCTCCAAGAATGGGAAACCTGACTCGAGAGGACGAGGTAAGATACTCTTGCTGCGTTTATCGTTAGCACTGATAGAAGTTGTTTCCAGCCATGGGCATTTGAGTCTCGTGATTTTCTTCGTGCATTGGCGGTAGGCAAAGAGATTTCATTTACTTCCACACATAGTTTTCCTTCCAATGAGGATGCCACGCGCGACCTTGGCACTGCTGAAATCGGGGGTGTGGATGTTGCATCTGAGATGCTAAAGAACGGTTGGGCCAAAGTCAAGGAATCGAAACGGGACCCCACAGAGGACGATATACAAAAACGTGACATCGAAGCTGAAGCGAAGGCGGCTGGAAAAGGTCTATGGAATTCTCATGGTCCCCAGGTGCGTATTCTTAGCTGCCTTACAATTACCCTCGCTTCTGTCATTTTCGCAGGCCCGCGTCGTACACCAAACAATGCCAACCGATTCGCAAGTGTTTGTTTCGGAGTGGAAGGGGAAGGCCATTGACGGTATGACGTCTTCTCACGACTGTATTACTTGGTTAAATTCATATTTTTAGCACTCGTGGAACAAGTGCGGGACGGCTCTACTCTCCGGGTCCGACTTTTCATGCCGGATGGCGAGCATCAAATAGCTAACATTGCGCTCGCTGGTGTTCGTTGTGCCAGGACATCCCCAAGGCAAGGAGAACCTTCAGAGCCTTGGGCAGAAGAAGTAAGTCAATTCACATGTCAAAATAACTTTGTTTGGATTATGGTCTGTAGGCGAAATTCTTCACGGAGTCTAGGCTGCTCCAGCGATCTGTACGGGTAATTATATTGTCATTGCCAACTTCGACAGCAACGCCATTCCAAGCCGGAGCTAATAGTGCACCACCTCCGCCGGTATCGATATTTATTGGTACTGGTACGTCGTTTTCTGTGTCTGAGAGTATATTTGGCAATATCTGCTGCAGTCCTCCATCCCGCTGGCAATGTGGCTGAACACCTTGTCGCCGCTGGGCTCGCTCGTGTTGTCGATTGGCACGCCGGCATGCTGGCCGCAGGGGGAGGTATGGAGCGCCTACGTGCGAGTGAGAAAGTTGCAAAAGAAAAGCGAGCATGTCTGTATGCCAATATGCCAACCGCGTCTGCATCGATTACCCAGTCAAGTGGTACTACTAATGGAAATGCTCGCATCTTTGATGGAACTGTCATTCGAGTATGGAGTGGCGATCAAATAACTGTCATTGATAAGGAGAGCGGGAAGGAGCGTCGGTTGCAGCTCAGCTCAACAAAAGGACCCAAGTAAGCAGTATGTCTTAATCATCGACGCCTTCTGATAGTTGTCAGACTCTCCGACCCTAAGCAGGCTTACTATGCACAAGAAGCTCGTGAATTCCTTCGGAAGAAACTTATTGGCAAGCACGTCAAAGTTACGGTTGACTTCATTCGTCCTCGTGACGGCGAATATGAGGAGCGCGAATGCGCAACAGTCCGTTATGGAAACCAAATCTCGTAAGCAAGATATATATTGGTGTTTTGTATTCACCCACATTTCCAATTCAGCAACGTGGCAGAGCAGTTAGTAGAAAAAGGCCTTGCCTCCGTTGTCCGCCATCGACGTGATGATGAGGACCGTTCCTCTGACTATGACAAATTGATGGCTGCAGAACAAGTGTAAGACAAGGACACCCTCACTTGTTAGATATTACTAACTCTTGAATTCAGCGCTGTTGCTGAGACCCGTGGTATCCACTCTGGTAAAGAACAGCCAGCTGTAAAGCCCCCCGTTAATATTTCAGAGGTATGTATATCTTAGTATCCGCTCCTCGGAGGTTCAGACTTGTCTTCTAGTCTGGCGCACGTGCCACCACTTTCGTTAATGGCTTCAAGAGGCAAGGGAAGATATCCGCTGTCATCGATTATGTTGCCTCTGGGTCTCGGTTTAAGTATGGTTTAGCACTATGTTCTGACGAATAGTTCTGAAATGTTTTTCCCAAGGCTCTTTCTCCCAAGAGATAACCAGTCGCTCACCTTGGTCCTGAATGGTAAGATCGACAAAAACCAGTTTCCAGACTATGCCTCATTATTTCTCAGGCATTCGAGCACCCCGAACAGCACGTAATCCTTCCGAGAGGAGTGAACCATTTGGTCAGGAGGCTGCAGACTTCGCAACCTACCGGTACATGCAACGCGATGTAGAATTTGAAGTGGACACCGTCGACAAATCTGGCGGTTTCATCGGAACGTTGTGGCTGAAGAGTGAAAACGTCGCAATTTCTCTAGTTAAGGAGGGCCTTGCGTCCGTACACTCCTTCTCTGCCGACGGTTTGTCCTGGTCCACACAGTTGTACGCAGCCGAAGTGAGCGCTGCTTGGATCCTTGAGTATTGAACTTTTTGATGACATCATTTTAGGCAGAAGCCAAGCAAGCACAAAAAAACGTAAGCCGCATTGATGCACTTCCTTTCGATGTTTAAATCATTTCCCAAGTTGTGGAAGAACTATGATGAGGAGGCAGAGAAGGCTGCTCAGGCTCCCCCTGCCGAAGATGATCCTGGACGTTTAAAGTCGGAATATCTGGATGTTATTATCAGTGATGTCCGGGCAGAAAATGGCTTCAGTTTCTCAGTACAAATATTAAACACTGAGGGTAAGCTTTCCACAGGATTGCTCGAATGGCTATTTCTCACGGTGTACGTCAGGGATCGCGACCTTAGAAAAGCTGATGCGCGATTTCTCTCTACATCATCGTGTTGCACATCCAGCACCATCAAATTTTACGCCGAAGGCAGGAGATTTAGTGTCTGCTAAGTTTTCGGACGGGTCGTGGTACCGTGCCAGGATTCGCCGTACATCCTCAGTCAAGAAGGAGGCTGAAGTAACATTTATCGATTATGGAAACCAAGACACTGTCTCGTTTTCAAATATCCGTCCTCTCGATCCCAAATTCTGCTCCCTGCCCGGTCAAGCGCAAGATGCTCGCTTAAGGTAATGGTACAATTTGCATTTTCGCTGCTTATAACACTTATGGTGTTGTGCATAGCTTTGTCAGGCTCGTGGCGTCCGAAAGCGAGTATCACGCAGATGCTGTTCAGCGCTTCCGTCAATTGTGCGAGGGTCGCAAACTTGTTGCTAACATCGACTACAAGGAGGGCGCTACGCTTCATCTGCGTCTCATTGATCCCAATGACCCCGTCGCTACACAAGATCCTTTAGCTTGCATTAACGCTGACCTACTCCGTGAGGGTCTGGCATCAATTGACCGCAAGGGATGCAAATATATTGGCGCATACCCACACATCATGAGTAAACTTCAAACTGCAGTTGCTGAAGCGAAGCGCGATCGTGCTGGGATGTTTGAGTTCGGTGATGTTGAGGAGGACGAGTAATCACTGTGGTGACCACGATTTATGTAATTTCGGGGAAGACTTAGTCAGCTAGTAATAATGCACGCATATCATCTCACTTTCATCATGTTCACGCTTGCAAGACGTGACTGCAGGAATGGAACCTACGAGCCAACTCGGTGCCAGTACTTCACTTCCTCAACTAAACAAAGGCCCACAACTTCTCTCAGGCTCGGGCAGTTTCCAGAGCTACTTATCTTCTGCTGGTTCATATCACCGTCACGCTAAAGGGGCAAGTGTCCATCTTGAGAACCAATCGTCAGTTCATACCGACAAGAACCAATCACCCTACCTTCAAAGCATAGTAGAAGCTTCTTCTCATCCAGGACCGTTGTCTGGTGTTGTGCGATTCATAACCAACTTCCCCGGATTCCTGCTCGAGGACCTACACCGCTTCCGCTATGGACACCTAGGAAGGCTGCGGATTTTGTTGTCCCTGTACTGCTGCGTGAGCGTTACCTTCCTCTCTTTCAAAATGCATAGTGCCTTGCGAGGTGCTGTTGCAGCTGGCCACCCACACATAGGTCATAGCCCAAGTACGTTGCTAAGGATATTGGAATACTCGTTTTCTAAGATGCAGACGTGCCAGACTCGGACACATTGTACCGTGTTTCCCCTCTCTCAAATGTATCGGTTCAGCAGCGAATGTCCATCGCGTTTCCCAATACGTCCCCTGGTCATCTGGAGACCTTCATCCTGGCTACTCATTCGTCAGTGGACAGTGGCCTCACCGCTTGCCTGTGGACTGAAGAGGACAGGCTGCACGACACCATTAGCACACTCACGGCCTGGTCGGGTGATTTGGACTCGGTCTTTTGTTATGGAGCGCCATCGTTTACGGTTTTACAGGTCCTATGTCTCTGGTCGTCGTGACGTCGGCTCCAACGGACCATCTAACCATACTGAAAAGGTTTCCAGAGCTTATGAGCCTCTCTGATACGCACGCCTCATTCGGTCTGTCGTTGCACGTACTCCAAGTTTCATCTTCTTTCGGAGGATCTGCCAATGCCTATTTAAACGTTGCTCGTCTCTTGGCGCCTACTGATCGAGTTGTCCTGTTCCCGGATGGTTTGCCTTTGCACCTCTCGAGTAATTTGTATAGCTCCATCATTCGGTCAACGTCTCCGCAGCCTCTTGTACTAGGCAACAATAGCCGTAGGACATATCCATTCGCCCCGATGTCCCCTGTTGTTCTTCATAAGGACTATCCTATATGGTGTACCGAGCGTTTCTCTCTTTTCCAATCTCGATCACTCGACTGGGAAGACTGTCTCTGGCAACTGTGGCTTGAAAGTGCTGGTGAGGTCAAGTCTACGGCGGTGGATAGCTGGCCAGTGGTGGAAACCGGCAAATACAACAACTCCGCCTTATCCGTACGTTGCACGACTTAGACACCTGGCTCCCTCGCTTGTGTCTTATGAATTACGATTACTTCAGGCAAAGTTAAGACGACGTTGGACTGTCAAATATCGTGCAGAAGCCTGTGCTCTTGCTATGAAACGAGCGCAGATATTAGAAGCAACCAGTTATGCAGACAAGAAGGCGTTCCAATGGCGCAAGAAATTTTGTCACGAGGTGAGGTCTTGATTTCCTCGAACCATGGTCTGGAATCGGTTGCTGAAAAGTTCAAGTCTCTGGGTACTTCCCCGGCAAACGCTGCTGCCTAATCAACGGACTTGAAGGCTATTTCAGGTTTATGTTTTAATTGACGATGCATTAGTATATGATACTTGGGAATGTTAGACAGACATCAAAGTTTATGTCATCCAATCACTGTAACACGCAAAAAGATACCTGTGCAAAGGTCATTCGGGGTGAGCTGCAAACCGAGCGGTGCATATTCGTCCGGAAGTGATCCTCAGTCTCGGTATCCGATCTGCCTCGTTGAACTCTTATTCAAAGTTGATCAAAGTATTACCAAAGTTCATTTCTACACTCGTGTGGCCAGTTGGTCTAGTATAAGTAACATTAATGCACACCCACTGTCCCACGACAAAAACGCGTCAATTACATAAAAGTTTTGGTTTTAATGTAGGCAAACAGTAACCAACGTGTTCGAGTAGAACCAAGGTGGCCAGGACACCTCCTCAGTTGAGATGAACCCTGCATCATTCGACACAACACAAAGCTGAAGGCATGGCCATAAACACCACTGCCCAACAAATCAACAGATACGCAGGTAGACATATATTGCAGGAAGATGACACAGCCTCTCACACTGATACACTAGATCATGTTGGCAGCAAGCCGTCGAGCCTCCACCTCTTCATCATCTTCCATTTCTTCATCTGGCCCCTCTTGGTATGTGGCCCATATAGCATCCATCTGTGGCGCATCCATCAACAACTCCAAAAGATCCTTTGCAAGCCCTGTGTCACTATTAGCTAGAAGTATGAACAATATGTAATTAACAGCATACCGGCAACTCTTTCCAAGTCCTGTTTGTCCTCCTCTTGCACCCACTCGGGCACATCAGCAAAACTGAGACGTCCCATGGTAACAACAAAAAGATGTACAAGACCGTTGTAGTGCCGTGGTGCGCGCTCTAGACGCTCTCGCAATCTAAGGGGAGTTTCGGCTTTAAACATCAAATGGTGCAAGAGAAAGGTCGTTTGGTTCATCCGTCGAATCACTCTGAATAGACAATATAAATGTGGCCAGTTTAAGGCAAATTCGTTACCTTGAAGTAGCCTGGGGGTCAGACTCCATTGCCTCGTCGCTTTGCCACACAGGTGCTGACAGCCCGTATAAATAAACAATGATCGAAGGTATCACGGATTGCGACTCGATGATAATCGTGTGAGCAGTTGGATGAGCCTCGGAGAGCATAGCAAAAAATGTCAGGATGTGTCGCTTGATCCCATCGGCCTGTCACGGTGTAAGTAGGGTCAGATAAGGATTATGCTACCGTATGTACCTCGTTGCTCGTTCTACTGGAATCGATCAAGAGGGAGCACATTCGCTCGACATGAGGGAGCCGAGTATAGTCTTGTGATTGCCCCTCGGTGTCAGGAAATGATAAAAGGGGTTGGAAAAGGACGGGTCCTAAACGTGATTTGAAAAAGGGAGGATTATGGTAGGAAGGTCATGCTCACGAGTTGAGAACTGAGAAAGCATGCGTGTACTTTGAAAAAGAAACCAAATCGGGCGAGAGGAATCCAAGAGTATCGATAGTACAGAAGGGCAACGAGGTACGAAGGCTAGCCTATAGCGTTCGTCAGCCATGATTGACTATGGAATGCGACATCTTCACATATTTTCCAAGTCACTAGGAGTATTCCAACACAAGGCTTCCAGTAGTGCGAGTGACTCCTTGGCAAGTAGACCTAGTTCCGATTTCTCGGTATCGTGAATTACTAGTTTACTGATGTGGTCCTGAATAACAGAACATATCACGGCGAGAATGCGAGGAACTCTATCTTCTGCAGGGTCCGTGGCTTTATACACCAAGAGATATGGATGAGGTGCTGGAAGGGTGTACGTTATTTGAGTCAGCTGGCTAAAAAGGGCAGCTAAAGACGTTATCTGCAGGAGACATCCATGATTCATGAATAGATCACAATACATATGAAACACATACATGATTAGAGGCGGCTAGTATATCTGCCATTTCTATTAGAGCGCCACAAATCGCTTGGGCTGCGAATTCCCAAGCTTGATGCTCCTGAGTGGGTACATTGGCGAGAACGTCCAGTATACGAGAACATGCGGAAGTATATGCATCCGATTTGGGTCCGATTGGTAGTGAAACTCCCAACAAGGCATGAAATGTAGTCATCCTGCAAGTCGGTTGCATGTGCATTAGGACAAGCCGATGCAACTATTCTGGTTGTTACATAAAGCCGGGGCACAATGGGTGGCACAAACTTACATCCAAAATCCACCTGTGAGGATCCACCTCTTCGGATTCCTCGTCCACAGTGACATGAATCTGTTGATCCTGAGCTCCGTCGGTCATCTCAACGTCATCCTGCGAATAGAAGTTTGTATCCACATTAGAGTCGGCCATGAAGACGTCCCCTTGCGCCGCCGCGCTAGAACCATCATCCCGAGCCGCCTGGAACAAATTCGTCTGCGTGCCTTCAAAATGAAACGACGCTGGCGGAGGACCACTGTCGAATTGCACTTGTGACGGACCCTTTTGGTTTGAGTCAGTTGCCTTGCCTTTGCCTTTGCTGAAATCTGTCACCCGCGACTTTGTAGGGGTTGTAGAGAGTTGGAATCCAGATGGTAGATTTCGGGTGTCAACCACTGGTTTCCTCGTACGCTCATTATTTACAATTTCGCCAAAGCGAGGTCGGGTAGGGCTCTCCTGTATGATTCTCGAAGGGCCTGCCACAGCTCCGCTTTCATCCCACCTTTGCATCTGCAAAGATAAAGGTACGGGCGTCGCAAGAGGTGCCATTGGGGCTTTCTTGGAGCGCGCAGACCATGGAGACTTTCGGGTAGATGTCTCTATTTCGTGTTGCTATCAAATACAGCCTTAGCTTGTAGGGGAGCAGATAAAACTCATCCATACCTTGAAAGTAAACAATGTCTTCAGGCGTTCTGCCTCCTCTTTCATTTCTTTTTGCATCTGCGTTTGTTTGGCCTCCGACTCCTCCTTGGCCGCCCTGAGCTTCGCTGTTTGCGCTGCATGGTCTTGAGCTATCTAATCAGGCTTTCAGTTGTCCTCAGGCGACTGATTGATAGTGAGTTACCTTCTCGATATTTTTCCTTAGTATGACAACTTCCCCTTCTTTGGCGAGTTTAGCAGAAAGCGTGTGTCGCAACTCTTCCTGCAGCCTCACTTTCTCTTTGTGAAGCTAGGCATGTATTATTGTTACCACATCCATTACTCATTTAGAAATGCAAGGCATCAAACCTCGTTCTTTTGCTTTCGCAAGCAAGCCAGATGCCTTTCCAATGCTATAAGAGATGGGTTCACAATAGATGTAGCTTGAGGGGCCGATATGATAGACTGTTGCGGCAGTTCAACTTTGTACGTGTCGTCATCGCACAGCGTGATGTCCGGTAAATTTTCGGTATCATCAGGAGAGCGACTGAAAGCACTGAAATCCTGCGGAGGACCTGTGTCCAGTTTTTGCCGCTTCGCTGGGGGTGGCAGGTCCTCTACGTCGGGCTCATCAACACGTCTGGACTCCTCAAACCTGGACTCCTCCTTGTCAAGGATGGCCAGCGTTTGATCATCCAAGACGAAGTCATCGGGGAAGTCTTCATCGGAGTCGAACATGAATAACGGACTCTGGACCTTGTCCTCGTCCTCATCGAGTGGACGCGTCGTACTAAAGGTGAGAAAGAGTTGCCATTTCAAGTGACACATCACCAAACAGACGCGTCGGACGCGTTTGGCGACGCGCTCTTGACTCTCACTGCAAATAACTGCACGGTGCACCACAGACCCCATTGATTATCATCTCCTAGTTACAGAGCTTGTTTGACTGCCACCTGTCGTAATACAGACATGTCTTGGAAAGCAAGCTTTCAGCAGGGTGTTTTTAATTTCAGGAGAAATAAACATTCTGAAGCCCTTGTGCTCTTCGATGAAGTATGTCTTTCAATCGCATCCTCTGCCCAGTTGGCCATACTAATCCAGAGTGAAGGCCATTTCACTCGGCTGTGATTCCTTCATTGTTTATGACTCTCGTGCGGCCCTGCATGAAAAGCTCGGGAACAATAAAGCTGCTCTCCTGGACGCGAAGAAAGTTGTGGATACTGCTCCAGATCGTTGGCAAGGCTATGCTCGCTCAGCACGTCTATTTCATGCGCTTAACAAGGACGAGGTGGCCATCAAAATGATTGACCTTGCTCTCGAGCGTATCAAATCAGACGATGCACAGCGCCATCAGGAACTCAATGCACTGAAGTCACAAGCAACCAATGCCTTGAAGGCTGCTGACGAAAGAAGGCGAGCGCGCATTGCAAAGACAGCATATTACATCGGCAAGCTACCTGTAGAAATCTTTGCAGAGATCCTTGGCCTCGTGGTTGCTACAGACCATGCACAGATTCTCAAGCTGTCACATGTCTGCAAACATTGGCGCGGCATAGCTATTAAGACTCCTTCACTTTGGCAGACACTGGTGGTTTCGAAGAACCGTCCCACTAGAAAGGTACGATTATGGATGGAACGAGCTCGGACACGCATATCGGATCTCTCTTTTCACCATAATATATCGGAGATGGACTGGCCATCCATCCTCTCAGAACTCTCGTCATTGTCTTGGTGTGTCCTTCGTTCTCTCGCAGCACCTGGAAGCTTGTTCTCCCGACTCTACGATCTGCTCCACCGATTATCCAAGACAGAAGTCATTTCGCGTCTCGAACATCTAGATGTCACAGGGTGTCCGGGTTTTGAGAGATTCTTGCCAGACTTTGAAGCCTCTCACCTAGATACCCTGAAAGTTGCCAACTTTACCCCTTCAATGGGCGGGCTATGGAGTCGGGTGCGTCAGCTCAGAACCATGACTGTCGAGGCAGGATGGATAGAGATACTCCCGGCCCTGACGGCCAATCAGTCACTGGAGAATCTTGTGCTCTCTGATTTGGTCCCAATCCCAATGCAGTCAGGTGGCGATGACTGCGTGGAACTTTCCGACCTCCAATGCTTAAAACTCTTCAACATTGCATCAGTCTCTATGATTACTCGCGTCATCGTCGCACCTAATTTGCAAGTCCTGCACTTGTTCAGCATTAGCCATTCGTCTGACGTGCTAGAATTTGCGCACGCCGATTCTCTTCGGGCTTTGAGGGAGCTCCGGATTGGAAGCTGCACTACTACCGCCAGGTCGCTGAATGTCATCATTGCTGGAGCGCCTTTATTGGAAACCCTCCAAATATCAGGCATACAGGGGGTCGTTAATGAAGTACTCGACTTCATTTGCGGTACACATCCGAACGATCAGCATCAAGACGTGTGCACCTTCTTGAGACATGTCGACCTCTCTAGCTGTGGTGATCTACTCACCAGAAATGCTTATTCCCTTGTCAAGACCCGCCTGCGCACTGATCAGCCCGCTGCTGAAGGTGGGGGTCAGCCTGGGTGCAGGGCCGAAATCGAGTCCTTGCGATTAGATGGTTGCCCTCTTATCGAAGCAGAGATGCTACCATGGTTCAGAGGAAAAGTGAAAGTGTTTAGCTGCGTGTATATGACGAAAAAAGAAGGCAAACAAAGGCGTTGATGAGCTGAGTCGAGCCTGCACCGGTGCCAAAATTTAAGGTGACTTCATTTACTTTGAAACAAGAAACTACTTTAGATACTAATGATAGTCTGCAGCTACCTTGAAACCCATTTCAAGGCTCGAGAAGAGATACAAGCAATCCTCTTGGGGTTGAAGCACGCAGTGGGCGCAATGAAGTATGTGTATCGTGTATTTACCGCGAAAGTATACACTGGGGATCAGGTTAGAGTTTATAATGCTTTTCAAGGATCAAGTACATAGACTGAACATTAAACATTTGACTGCATTGAAACATACGCGAAATCTAACTCCGTAATACTAACGAATGTCGGATAATAAATTATAGAAACTAAACAGAAAAACAAAAGGTGTGTAGCAAGAAACGCGGCTACTATGTGGTTTCAGCCAATGTAATGAGGCTTACAGATGGTAGCCACGGGCTGAGCGAACAGCCAAGGGAATCATCAGGTCAGCCCCACAATGCATGCGAGAATGACTGGGCCGAATGCCACTGAGGCGGTATGAAACTCGTTCACGAACTGTCGCTACGTAAGAGCGCCGCCGTCGATGCATCGATCTAGGCTATGGATGAGGTTTGATGCGACAAACGATGTAGTTAGTGCTATCCGATATAGCGGATCTTGATTGCACCAGCCCTGTTGCGCACTTCGAGAGCTAAACCACGCGTTAACGTTTGTGCAATATTTGTATCCCGTGGATCGAACCTTTCATTTCTTCTGCTTCCTCTCTCTGCTCGTAGTCCAGGACCAAACGTTTGAGATGTTGCTGCTCTACCTTGTCTTGAAGTTGTGCAGATCGCGTGTGTACGGCGAGCGCCGATTCGGCTGGTACAAGAAGATGGCGACCCTGACATTCCATCGTCGGTGAGGACAGAATAGTCAAGCTCAAGACAGAGATGCGCACCTGCTGCTTACTGCCACGTTTAGTAATGACAGTGAACTGCATCACGGCGTCACCGTCTGGCTTGTTGTCGCCGCCAGCATCGACATCACCTTCGTCAGCCCGTTTCTTGCGCAAATTAGGGGCGAGAACGGCAGAATCCCACCAAGCTGTCTTCTTGTCAACCTTTCTAGACTCGGCTGAAGAATCTGTGATAATCTTAGCAAGCTCTTTCTCGAATTCGGCTTCAGCTTCCTCAGATGGTCCGAGATGTTCTTGTGTGGATAGGACGATAACAGGGTCAGGTGACGCTGTTCGATCTTCATTCTAGGAGGCACGGTCAAATCTTGGTTATTGCACAGATAGGATTCAGCCAAGCTATCGCTTACCGAAGATTCCTGACCAGTCGTATCATCATCGTCTTCGTCTTGTTGTTGAGGCCGTTCGCCTTCTTCGTCGCTGTCTTCGCCACTATCCTCACCGGTTGATACTTATTTCGAAGTGTGAGTTGAGTGCCCACCACAAAAAGTGACAAACAAACGTACAACCAGCGTTCTGCAAAGCAGCATTGAACATATCATCGACAGCTACAGCGGCTTCTTCTATTGTATTATACATCGTCATCTTGGGCCGGATAGCCTGCAAGCAAATTGAGATCAGGTGTGCTGTTCGAAGCAGACTCACTCACCTCGATCGAATCAGAGAGCATAAAGTCAACGTCCATGGGCAGATCTTCCTTGCATAAGACATAGTACTGCAAAGCCATGGTGTAAGCATCGACGCAGACGAGATGTCTAGCAACTTTTACCTGGAAGAAAACAAGGAAATTATCAAGCTTCCGCTTCTGAGTCCCTCGGTCGAAGCACATGCCAACAGTGTCGAGCAGGACGCAAACGAGACGAACGCGGAAAAAATCGTTAGGCATATCCAGTGGGCAAGGCTGACGGGGCAATGGATGTCCTTCAGCTGTGAAAAGGAGTTAGTTGAGGCATGCAAGTTGTGTCATGCACTGACGATGTCCGAATGTGACCAGCGACCACAATGTATCAAACACTAGGATCGACCCCAACAACCGGTAGATATAGAGTTCACCCAGATATTTTATGGCAGCCACACGGCGTTGGTTCGTGCTATAGACGTTCTGTTCCAAGCCTCTTCGAATGTCTTCAAGAACCTGGTCCACAACCGATATCGCGAAAGCAGGGTGATAACGTTGGAGGTCGTATGTCAGCATGGCCAACAAATTGACGTTGCTATATTTGATTTTCCAAGGTTTGGTGAAAACTTTATGCAGAGCGCGTTGAACAATTGGATCATCCCAATCAAGCTTGCGAAGGAGCTTAAGGACCTTATCAATGGTCTTTTTAGCTAGAACGTCATATATAAGATGGCGGATAAAAAGTTCCAAAGGAGTGCGCTCCTTCTGTTGTCTCGGCGTTCGTTCAGGTGGGTTACACTACATCATTTGTGTGAGTAAGGTTGATCGGCCAAGTGCAACGCACTGACCTGATAATATGCGTTTTCAAGTAGAAGGATTTGTCTTTGATCAAAGTGTTGCATGCTCTGCTTACGCCTCATGAGCTCAAGCTGCAACAAGAACATTTAGCGACTGTCAGCCTGTATGCATTGTAAACTGACCATAGTACCAAATCTCTCCCTAGTCTCGTCACTGCGCAATAAAAAGCGACCGCACCCTTCAAGGAGAATCGAGATGTTTTCGACGTTCGTTCCAGAAAAATCGTCCAAGCATACTTTGAACATGTGGAGGACAAGATGAGAAGGCACGACGCGAAACTTCGTCAAGCTGGACAAATATAAGATATTCTTTCCATCTTAATTAGCATAGGGGGGATAATGCGAGCAGATCATTGGTTTACCTTCAAGCGAACCTCTGCAAGCTCTTTCACCACATTTTTCTTTCGTTGCAAATAGCGGAATTCTTCATCCAGCTTGAAAAGTAGCTGTGACGTAGGACCTTATCGAGCTGAGATAAAGCTCACCAGTGCCACAAGCTCGGCACCAATGTCCGGCATATATCTGTTCAAAGTTGCTACAAACCTTGCATAATGAGGAAGTAAGTCGGTCCGATTCTTTGGCACAGCACCCAAGAACTACGGAACTATCAGTCAATCCGTACTGGGAACAGGCCTGACTGCTGACCTTTATAAGTCTCTTCCTAGCCGCCTTGGAGTTCAAAAACGCGAAATCGATTGCAGCTTGGTCAATCATGCTACGATTTGTTGCATCGGGGAGGCGTGCAAGTAAAGCAGTAAGTAGCTGCGATGGTCCCTGAGGGGCGAGTTGAGGAGACAACGGGGGACTTGAGGCCTTAGTCGGGGACGTCGGTGTCGGTGTGATTGTACTAAACAGTATAAGTGACCCTGCAATCTTGAATTGACTAATAGATAGACAGACACACCCATCGGGTTCTTCCTCGCGCATCTCAACTTCGGTGGTACCGTCGTTTCTTCCATTTACTCGATCACCGTCCAGTTTCAGGCCCTCCAATTCCTCTTCTAGTTTCTTTGCTTCAGCATCTGCTTTCTCCTTCTCCACCTTTTCTCTCTCTTCTGCGATCTCCTGATCTTCTTTCTCGTCGCTCTCAATGCCCAAAACTGACTTTGGCACGAAGTCCTTTAGGTCCTGGATGTCCTCAAAGAAGCGACGCTCTTCCTCGTCCTCCCATTTACCCCCAGAATTCGCGAGAGGATCTTCATCATCGCCCGAGACGGCATTTCCTCCAATTTGGATGGAATCCGACTTCTGGGACGCGGTGGGCAATGACGGCATAGGCAGGTACAGCAGTTCCGAGAGTCTGAGAACAGATACATCAACTGTTGTAACCGCTGGAAGATTAGTTCCAAACCGACGTTTGGCAGCTTGCAAGTAGTTTCTCGTAGCCTTTTGTCATCTTCTCATACGCTTGTTGCCTATCCTCAAAGATCTCCCCAGACCGGATATATGCTTCATGATTCCTACGATCTTGATCTTGCAGGCGCTGCAAAAATAGAAGATTATTTTTTCTGGAGAAAACCTGCATATATTTATATAGATACATACCTTGTGCTCTATGGTGAGTTTCTTGGAAACGCTGTCAAAATAACCTTCGCACATGCGCTTGAATCGATCCCGAATTTCTTGTTCTACAAGTTCCTCGTCCTCATGCAAGAGCGTCGGAAATTCTCCTTGGGTGGCGTTCGTAGTTGTTGAAGACAAGGTTCCAGGTTCTGTTTCAGCGGATATCTGCTTGCTCTGAGGAGGCGTCAGGCCCAAATATGGTCTCGAGTATGACTTCAGAAATATGGAGAGAAGGGGTAGAGATGACAAGGTTGGATCGTTAGACAGCTTGACAGTTATCAGTTATGCCCTAAGCAGTAATTCATATAGAACCTACCAATTCCCTCAATACTTTCATTATCCATTCACCGCCACTTCGTCTCTGTCCATCAGTAATGATTCCGACTAATGCGAGCTCAGAACAGACACGGAGAAGGGGACGCTGTCGAGAAACTCGCGCAGAATCCTCCTTCTCCCGCTGTTCAGGAGGTAACGCAGAGAGAGCTGCACGAGACGGGGCAGCAAGTGCGGTAGACAATGATGAAATGAAAGGAGTAGTAAATGCTGCGGGAAAGCGTCTGTGGAGAGCTGAAATAACCTAAAATTGTTGAGCGGTCAATGTATGCGGCGCCCATGGAAGTTGCTTCTCACCTCAACAGCACTCCAAATATCCTTCTCCGTTTTGCATCTCATGATTCCTTCTAGTGCGGCCCCAGCTATCTCGTCGATGTACTTTTCCAGCGACAACGAGTCTATGTCCTTGAGGATTTGGTCACGATGATCAGCACCAAGAGACAGGCGCATGCGCTTGATCAAACCAGTGTGGCGCTTCAAGGTGGAGTCCAGCCTAGACAACTCTACTGTTGTTCATAAAATCATAATTAGATGCTTCCGGGTATGAACGATCTCCATGACTCACCTTGGATGTCCATGGCAGCGTTCAGCTCCCTAAGCTTTACACGTTTAGCATGGCGTGCCTTCTCTTCGTCGACTCTAAGGAGTGCTGAATCCATTACTTATCAATAATACACTGTAAGGGCGAACAGAGTACAGCACTGAAGTCTAAGCGGAAGCAGCAACGAACTCCTGATTGCCTTTTGAGGACTGAGTACTTTCTCATTGGCTGGTTATGCTTACCAGGCTACATGCAGGCTCACCGAGAGTGTCTTTCACCTACGTCTTAGGCAACAGCGGCCATCAATGTGCTAATAACCCTCTAGTACTGTAATAATGCCCAAAGAACGTTATGGAGGGGTCAGCTTCTTTTATTGTAGCCTCGAACGAATTGTACGGAGGCCTAATAATAAGGTCATGCTGCGGCGGTACTTCTAATAAAGGTCGCATTCTAGCGGCGGCCGCAGGCTGAAGCGCTGACGCTCAGGGACCAACGAACTTACATCGTGATGATGCTCAAAAAATCACTAGTGCCAAATTTTTGACTAGAAGCGTCCGCCCCTCGGACCAGTGGAGCACATGTCACCAACCTTCGTTACGCCGACACTAGGTCATGAAACGCGATCAGATTGAATTTCACCCTCATTCACCCCCACTTCCATGTAAACAGTTGGCAATCACGATACATGTCATTGGAGACTCTGAATCAACAGCTATGTGATGAAAGCAACGTGAAATACAATGCAACGAAAACAACAGTGACTGCCGGCATAAATAGTACATTATAGGAAAAGGCTATGAACGAGACCTGAGAGAGGGGGGGTGGAATAAATGACGCACAGGGGAAACAACAAATAGCGTTAAAGCATAAAATAACTCGGGGAATATCGGTATGACACGTAATGCGTGGATGGGATCGCATGATGGATGTGTCGGAACGACGTGAAAAGATAACGTACGACATGACTCTGACGCGCGCCCCGGTCTCCCAACAAGGGCTACCGGCCACCTCTAATGGGGGCGTGAAGGCCTTTGAAGGCAGATAACAGCCTGTCGCGGTCTCAGCCAGACCGCGTGGCATCCTCAGCCTCAGCTCCGACAAGGGAGGGAAAAGAAACACTGTCAGTGCCACGTCGACGTCGTCTGTCCTCACCAGAAACACGAGTTGGTGGGTGTCGCGAGACAGGATTACCAATGTTTCCGGTATTGAGATACCTATAGTGACCTGCGCCGGTGCTGACACCAGGAGGGTACAACGTGCCACGATTGTACGAGCTGCGCTCCTTCCTCCGGATATGTGTAGGCTTTGGGAACTCCTCCGAAAGTCCCTGATTCGGCCCGGGATCGGAGAAGAATATCTTTGGACGCCATTCCTCACGTTCATCCATGATGCAGGAGTTCTTAAATTTCTCCACGAGGGCTTCCTTTCCCCTATCATAGGGCTCGACTTAGTAGTGTCAAAGAAAGCGGAGCGAGACGTACTGATAGTTGGCATAGCTCATCTGAAGTACCTTCTCACTGGAGTATATGTTCCTAATGATAAGGTCAGCAAATGTCATTCGCCGCATGGTACACATCTTACCACTTCTCATTTAGACGCGCCTTCGCGAAACGTAACAAATCCTGCACCGATATGAAATTGACGAAGGCGTAACCAACGTTGCACCCTGCACTCACTGTATCAGTATCCGCTGAAACTGTTAAAACCGCAAACACCATACCGTTCTGGAAATCCATCCTCAGGTACAGAAAATCGATTCTCCGAGGACATACTTTGTTAATGTACGTGATAAGTTCCTTGTCTGTCATTTTGTTCGGAATATTTTTAACCATCACGGTGGTCCGCGTATCGACACCGTGCTCGATTTTTGTGATGTCCAATTGATTGCCCTCGGGCGGAGCGCGAGATGAGGAATGGGTCAGTGGTGGCGGGCGCGTGACAACAGCACCTGGCTGAAGCGGAGCAGAAGATGCAGTATATGGGAAGGGATATTCCGCTACCGGGTGCGATGGCTGCGGATAATAAGGCGAGGATGTGTACATGGTCCATGGTTCTAGAACACCGTGCGACTGGAAGGTCACCCAACCACCGCTCATGGCATCCCAATATACGGGTGGAGCCGACATGGGAGATTGGGGAGGAGCAGGATGCATCGCCATAGTGATAGGGTTTGGGACCGGTGGTGATGTTACCCAAGGTGGCTGGTTCATGTCGAATTGAGCACCATGATAATACTCCGTCGCATAATATGTCGCTAGATGTGGTGCCGTGCCCGTCGCTGCTACAGTTAAGCCGGCAGTATCACCGACTTCTTGCTCGTGATCATACATGCTATGCTTCCGGTGATCTGCATCAAATAACTTCTGATGAGAATGGCCGCGAGTAGAATCGAATAGGTGATTGGAACTGCGCCTGCCGTACTGTCCCTGAGGGGCGGAATTGTCAACGATGTTGATGTCAGTGGATTCACCGCGGCTGTGAGAGTGATGAACGGGGTGAATGTCGTGAGGTCCCGCAGTGGATCTCCTTCTGTCTTTTAACGCTTGACTACCAGCGATATTGTCACGGGAATCGAAAGCGGGTTGCTCACGCTCTGGATAATACCCACTTGCACCGACGTCATTCAAGACGGGAAACGGAATTGCAGTTGGGTTGGACGTGGCTTGTGACTGCGATAAATAAGTAGTCGCCGTGGGTGTCTTCGGCTCCGCGGTATGTTCGCTCCCGATTTCGCATTCTCTATTAAATGACGAAACTTCCTTCTGGGCTTCTGCGGAATGATCACGTAAGGATGCCTTGCTGAAAAGACGAAGTTTCATGCTATCCACAACACGTCCGTCCAGCTCTTCCCAAGCAGCATCCGCATCTCGGACGTCAAAATATTCCGCTTGGAAAATCTAGGTCATTTAACAGGTTAATGACTTGTCAATTACGGGAAGGGTGACGTCGGAAACTGAGTATCCGAAAGGGAAGCCCGTACGGTAGTAGGCCAAAAGTGCACGCTACGGGCTAATCGTAGCAAGTGGATAACGGAACACAGACAAGGATGGGCAAACGGTGAGAGACTTGCCTGAGTCGAGCTCTCGATATCTTCGTTAATGCAGTTGAAGGCCTTGACGTCCCCATATTTTTCCAATATACTCTTGATTTTGACCGGAATAGCAAAATGCCTCTGGGCTCGAGAAGCAGAAAAATCGGGAGTGGGTGAAGTATCATTGACAGATATGCAGAACGCGCCTTCTGTTTGTGTCATAAAAACGGGAGACAAGGTGCCCAAAAGCTTACCGCAAGCGTTATATTAGCAAACTACAGACATCAATGACAAGATGGCCTTACCTCTGCACAATGTCCAGTTTCTGCAAGACAGCACGTTAACGCCTCCTGCCAAGCAACACCAGTAGCTTGCGCACTCGAGATAGTTTTGCCATCATCTTGCATCCGTGTAGACGCCCTTGACTCGATGACGCGCTTGGCGCGTTCAGCATCGCGTACGTCATGGAATGCGACTATGAAATCTCGATTTTCCGGACTCCTGCGGAAAATGTTTTGGATCGGTTTTGGCGGAAAGCGGCGCGCGGAACGCGCCCTGGGGCTAGTGATGGTGGGAGATGAAAGACTCTTGAAATATTGAGCAATTACATCCTCGGATATATCACTGGGTGCATTTCCGATCTACATGAAACTTAGCATGGCTCTCAACCAATCTAAAAAGTCCTTACGATCAGAAACCTGCTGTGCTGATTGCTTTCGGGACCAGAATCAGCGAGGGTGAGACCCTTCAGATCTGCAATGGGAATGTTGAAATCTGTAGATTCATGATCGGTGCCATCGCTTTGAAGGGATGAAGATGGCGTGAGAGGTGGCGTGAGGTAATGACTTGTTGCTGTAGGCTTCCTGGAATAAGTCTTTGAACGACTGGTATCTTTGGTAGTAGGGGGCTGCGGGGGTATTGGAGAAGCCGAATTACGCAAGTTTGATGATTGCGGGGGAGCCACGTGGCGAGATGTAACCATCTCTCGCGGACTTGGTCTGTACCAAGGGGTGAGTGATATTGAAATAATGATGACCGGCTTAGGAAAGTTCTCGGCTCACCGTAAATTGGGAAGCGAAGGCGATGGCTGGAGTCGCGGGGGTCTAGTTGAGCACTCTCTTGTAGTGCGCTCGAAGAGAGACATGGTGGAGGTGGTGAGAAGGACTGGAAAGGTTGTTTTCGTGTGGAGATAGACGTTTATAAGAAATGTAAACGAGAAGCTGATTGAAAAGGAAGAATCGGAGAAAGGAGAACCTGAAAGGCGAAATTGATATAACGACTTGCTCAGATTGACGTACAGAGAATCATTATAAGACGTCGAAGGGAGAAGGCTCGTGGAGTCGCCGTGAAGGGCTCACGCGGGAGACAGTGATGGAGAAAAAAAGAAGGAAGCGCTTGACCAGACCTGGTCAAATCTTGTAGTCTCCACGGGGAATTGAAGCGCTGCAACGTTGCAAGCTTTGTATTTGAAGGAATAGCAAAAAAGAAATAACGAAAATCCGGAATGCAGGGTAAAGAGTTTCCAGGATGGCACAGCAAATGAGATGGGACAATCACCAAAAATTGCAAAACAGCCCTCTACGGGAGAAGGCGTCAATAAAGATCCTCCAACGACCGAAGATCACTTCTCTGTCAGGACAAGAAGAAGAAAAAAAAGATATCACAGACGATCCACTGCGGCGCATTTCCTTCTTAGATTTCAAAAAGCTTGATCATGATGAGCGCTTGTGCCATGTCGCTCCTCGAGCTCGATTTCGACAAAAATTTTGATTAGATCGCGTATTACATCTAAAAGTTTGGTGAACCGCGCGTGCTGAGTGAAAGAAAGTTTCAACTTCAAATCGTGAGACTTTTCATTAGGATCTCCGGTGGCCAAGCCACTTACGATATACCTCCGGAGACTTGGTTATTCCACTAGTAAACCCTCGAATCATAGATCAGGAAGGCGATCCTCTTCAAATCGGTACTTCCATCACCCCGAAAACCGAGTTTCAAGTTTGAGTCAGCAACCCCGCGGAAGACCACCGTATGCTTAGGCGACTATATCACGTTTCAAGCCGTGTTCTTGACGCCGCGTGGGGCAGCCTGCCTGCCTCACGACCCTGACTCCCACGAGATACTTTTTAAGCTTAATCAGGAGGCTTGTTGCTGAAGCGCTGGGGGACTGCACCATGAATTTGGAAACTCGCCGGCTACAGAGCTGCTCCAGAGCAACGTACAAGCACCACAAGTCATATCGGCCAGATGCGGACGTTCTTTTTCGACAGCGAGATCAAGATTTGAACGAATTTCCATCGGAGGCCAGCTTCGCGGCCGGTATCGTTGGTTAACGGTGTGATCCGAGACGTTGAAACCCTGTGCTCTACGTTCAATTTGGCCGTTCAGCCCTTTGTCCTCAAGGAAATATAGTGCTTGTTAGTGAGGCGGCACAAAATCGTACACGTACATCTGATCGTGGCCTCCTCAGTTCTTCGTGCTACCAAACGTTTAATGGCATTGTGTCTTGCGAGCCGAATCCTGATTTCGCTCTGAGCTTGTCTGAGCTCTTTCTGAGTTCAGAACATTTCACAAAACCAGACTGCTTAGCAACCGCGTTCATTAATCACTTGTCTTCCCATTTCTGTCAACTGTGAATGTGATTTTGTAAGGGCAACACACACTCCTCTAGTCGGACCAATACAAGGACGATCCACAGACGTTCCTTCGTTGAAGAGAATAACATGTGAGTTACTTCACCGTTGTTCATGGTCCGTGGACGATATCCTTTGTTATTTTACAGTGCTCTGACTGGTGTTGCCAAGGCCGCCCAAAGCTCCTGCAACTTCGTTTCATTGCACGCAACCCCTTCATCAACCAATGATTCCGCAGTCTATTGCACCCACTGCTACGTCGTGGGCGACGGGGTCCCTTAACTTACTCGCTCATCCCCGATTTTCCCAATCGGCATTGTCCTATCATTAATCTTCCATCTCTCGGGCGTAAATCAAATCAACGTATTCTAACGATATGCGGGATAGGTGGCGAACACCGATACGATTGCGTCAGTTCTACTGATTCGTGCGAGCTTCGCGATATCGAGTCATACTTGCACTTGTGCGTGTGTCGAGGTAAGCGGGGCATAGTACTTGTGCCTGAACGCATTGCATGAAACTCATACGTCAAACGATCTGCTCCTGACTTATGATACACCCTAGAATCTTACTAGTACGACCCGTGCGGTCGCATGTTCCGATAAGCCTTTGTCGCCAAATAGTAGCCGACGCTTCAAATCATCGATGCATCATTTTTGCATACCTGGGAGGGGTTTTTGATAAGGTTCGGTGACGGATCAGGATTCAGTTGCTGTTCCGACACGTACACGAAAGTTTCGAATCGTTGGATTGAGTACAACAAACTATCCATAATGGTATATATACCTTGTCAACTTCGCGAACAAGCTAGTACTAGCTCTGCTGCTGCTAGTGCATAGAGAATCCGAGAAGATGATCGGATCTTCGACTAGAAGTAGGACTTCTGGATGTTATTATGGTGCCGTCTCTCACGGATCTGAATCATCTACGTTGCGATCGTTCGAGAGTCTGATCAAATGACTCGGAAGTAAGACTTGTTCTCCTGTATGGTTTGCCCGGAAGACTCCAGGCTGACAACGTGGAAATATTTTACCACGGCAATTCTCTCTACGCCGCGTTTGACTTGGCAAAACGGTGAACAGTACAACCGCGCATCCTGAGATCGTACCTTTACCATTACCTAGGACTTGAACGACTACGTCAAGATGCCACTCTACCAAATGTTCTGCATCGCCAGTCATTTTAGGGAATACGTGAGTCGCATTCTACATTTCATGGAATTAGCATCTCATGACTATGAAATAGAAACACATAAAAGACCTGGTGACTATGTCTGCAATGCATGTGATGAACGAAGGCGGCGTAGTGCGAAATATCCAGTTCAACGGAACACAGACACTTCCTGAACGAATGCGGCGCCATAAACAGTATTACACCATCGGAGAGTAAGTCTCAAGTACTTTATGTTGAGCTCATGGTGACCTTGCCGTTTTACCAGTTATTGGACGATGCATTTTGACACTTCGCCTCGCACACTACGTACACTGGCTGGAATGATGCGCCGAGATCATCGTGTCATAAGGTGGACGATGTTGAAGTTGGGTGAGAAGGCAGAAAACGTGGTCACTTCACCTGAGCAGACGGTGGAACGCCATTTACCAGCATCACCGAGCAAAACCAACTCTCATTGGTCCTCGTGACGTATTTCTTTATATCTTATTCGCCTTCTGGTCTAGAACACTTTGTAGAGTCGATTTTGTGTTATTGAAGACTCCAACCCAGCCAACGGCGAGCAAGCTCTCAAGTGGTTTGCCGTTCTACCCACTTTACCACCCCCCACAGGTCGTTCACTACCTGTACACCTTGGAGATTTTCACCCTCCTCCTTGTGTTCACCATCACCTTCTGGACCGGCCCTGCGCAACAGCAGGGCATGCATTCCAGCAGCCCGAGCGCCATGATAATCACTAAAAGAAATCCGAAACAACGTGACTTTGTGAACATTAAGTCATACCTTTCAAGTTCATCTCCTACGTGAACACCGCCCTGCATTTCCATCGGGACTAACTCAGACCGCATGCTGAACGCAAGACGAAATATTTTGGCATTCGGTTTCTCTATTCCCACAGCCTCGCTGAGAAGGATCGAACCGAGATACGGAGCAATTTCAAGATCCCTCAACACAGATACTGCATGGCAAGTTAGCTAACGCGGAAATGAAACTTCCAGAAGACATACGCATACGCGTGTCCGTGTTGCTAATCAACGCTGTACGAATCTTCATTTGATGCAGTCGCCTCACTACGTAGCATGCAGAAGCATGGTCATGAGCACGAGTTGTCGAAGAGGGGCCCGATGATGTACATACGTACAGGGAGGGAGTCGTGGAAGAGTTTGTATCCCTGTCGAGAACTGAATCTTTCCATAAGACTGGGAACGATTTGCGGCAATGATGAGTCTACGGCTAGAAGGTGGTTATTAGACTTCCACAAGGACGTTGACTGGGCATAGAACCTTGTGGGTCGGCACCAGCTCCGATGGCTGTCCGCTTGATCACTTCAGACCACCATCCTTCAGCGCCAGAATCCCCCTGATACGTGGGGTTTTCTTTTTGTACCTGTGACAGCGCTGAGGGACCTGAGCCCAAGGACTTGTCTGGCAGAAGGTTATCGTTGACATACCAACTTTAAAAGACTGTTTGAGTAGCACTGGCTCAAGTACACCAAGATATGGTGCAAATGTCTGTGAATACTGGGTATAAATTGGTAACCTGGGCGTTACGAGCGTGTGCAATGCATCAAAGGTCACCAGCCTGATGGTCATCTTGCTATCGTAGTAGCATAAAGCAATTAATGAAATTTAGAGAAACAGAGTTGGCTTTTATATATGGGTGTACCAGTGTGGGATGTAGTGACCGATGCAGCACTGCCAGTTGCAGCTGTAGTACGACAGCTGGGAATGCTTACTATGGCTTAGGGCAACTTTTCGTTCTCTCCTCCTGGCCACTTACTTAAATCCTCAAAACTCTCAATCTCTGGCCTGACTAGAGTTTACATTCATCGAGTTGTTGTTGGCCAGAGCTGAGTGTTCGGGTTCTGATCAATCGCCACGAGTCGCTTTCAGGCTCCACCAGGGTCCACTGCTCATCCACGCAGCAGGCGTCAACATCGAGGCAGGACCCCGTTCCCTTTTTTCCCCAACGCTCATCATGTCGGAGGCGCTTGCCGTCGATGCTCAGTCTCTAAGAAGAACTCAGTCGACTGGCGATATCCACCCACCGCCCAGAGCCCGCCTTTCAACGTCACATCATCGCTCCGAACAGGACGGAAGGAATTTCAATGTTAGTTCATCACCAATTGCAGAAGGGACCACCGAAGAGTGAGTAGTACACTGCCCAGCATGAAAGTTCCTTTGATCGATGTTCATCTGCGCTGTAGTACTCCCCGTGACCCCTGGTTTACACCCGACGCATCTCCTGCAGGGCAACAACAAAGTAGAAGATCCTCCACTTCCACTTCTCAAGCACACCTTTCCTTAATCCCGAAAATCAAAGCATTCTTTGGGATTGGTCCTGATGCATCAAGAACACGTAAAGCTCTTGTATCAGTTGTGTGGGCTCTGGCGTATGGTTTCTTTCAAGTCTGTCGACTTTCTCCGACTCGAGGACTGCACTGAATTATGTTGTTTAGATTGGGGCTATCATCGCCGTACTGGGGCTGGCCTCTGTAGTTGCCAGCCCGACGGAGGCAAATGTCCATCAGATCAATGCTTGTGGGCGACCGCTCGTTGCCTGGAATTGCATTTGGATAGTGAAAGTCTGTTTGTCATCCACCCTGGCGTATTGGAATTTTATTAGAGTCCGAAATGTGTGAGTCGCATGGACCTTGTCTATTTGGTGCCTGATAGAACGGAAACAGGGAGCGTACGGGGAGACAAGGTGATGCTGAGTCTGGCGATCGTTCTCGAACATCCAATGATGGCGGATCTCGTCGTAATGAACCCCCAAATCGTCGTCGACAGAGAGATCCTCGTAGACGGGCCAGGAACGCAAGTTCCAGTGCTACAAATCAAGAAGAGCCGGCACCACCATATTCTTATCTTTACGCGCGGTATGCATCAGCTTCTTTTGCAAACATGTGAAAATGATAATAATCTTCGTGCCAGCTTGTCACTCCTTTCATCCATGCTTACTCTGACATGGTTCCTAACCGCACACATTTTGGAATACACATCTGTCGATACATGCCGACTTTCTTCGCCTCTTGTTTGGTGGCTTACTTTTGGGATTTTGTGCACAATGTATTTCCTGGTTCTCGAGGTCTTGGTTTTCGGTTTTCTTGTTTTCATGGTTTTGCCTTTCATTATGGTGAGCCCAGCTTCTCTTCGTCCTGCCCATGTACCGATACGCATTCTGCAGCTTTTCTACAGTATTATTCTACTATGCCTGGGTCGTCACCCACTCCAGAACCCTCACTATATCAAGCCCGAAATCGATAAGCTGCCCAAAGCCACCGTCGAACGTATTCCTCTAGTCATCTACATCCCTCCTCCACCAGAAGACGATGGAAAGGCACAACCGATTTCTTTGCCAAAACCTGTGCACAGCTATCCACCCAAAGCACCAGCTTCGCGAACGCCAAGGAGGCGATTTGTATTCTTTCATCGTAGACCCAAGAAGTCCGAACAAGGCGTTGATATCCTTGACGGCAAACAGAGCACGAAGTCGGAGGTCAAAGATCCAGAAACTTGGGAAGATAACTGGGAGCAATGCGAGTATCCCTTTGTCCGATTGGAGGGCAACCGAGCTGCCTGCGCCATCTGTTTGATGGACTTCGAGGAGCCAAAGAGACTTTCCAGTGCTACAGAATCAAGCACGATAGATAAGGATGAAGAACAAGCTCCAGTTACGTCCGCCGAAGACAACCTACCCCGCCAGCGTGAGGAGGAAGCTGAAATACCGGTGGAACGGATCACTGAAGAAGAAAGAAGTGGCCTTCCTCACCTTGAAGATGCGGGAGTCGGTCCGCAGCCTCTTCGACTGCTTGCTTGCGGTCACGTCTTCCATGTACGCCTATTCAGTCTGACCTCACTTCTTTGTAACTAACTTGTCGTCATGACAGAAAACATGCATCGACCCTTGGTTAACTGACGTATCAGGCCGATGTCCGGTGTGTCAGCGACCTGTCGAATTGGATGACATGGACCCGAAGAAGTCTAGGCGAAGACGTCGCTCATGATCACATACGTGTTCCGCTTTATAATGGTTTCGGTTTGTGGGTGATGAACTACTACAGTAGGAACCGATGTACAACATACATTGATATTGCATATTCATTGGACGATATTCTGCATTGCAGGCGCTTACAGCTTACATAATACAATCCCGACATTATGCCAAGAATTGCTTGCACATCAGCTGAATAACGCCACTGAGTGACAAATGTTAAACGTTAAGTACCGACGTCAGGAGATAAAAGGCTTCCTCGCGTTTTCCATTTAATCATGTAGAATTCCCTGCGACAATATGTCTGATTCCTACAGTCAAGAGAACTCATACCAAAGGCACGCGACCGAAAAATCAGAGGCTCATCGTCATGCACCAATGGCGCCAATCACAACCCCTGTCGTACCTGACGCCGAAGACAAACCATTTTCACATGGCCTTTTCGACAATGATCCAGCGACATCTTCTGCAAGAAAGGGCTGGTTAAAGATTAGCATCTTTGGTGTACTTGTTCTTTTCGTTATGATCTGGGGTGTTCTACCCATCTATTGGGCTGCTCTTGGTCGGTCGTACAATAATGTTCACAACCTATCCGGATATGTGGTGGTAAGGTGTCTTTACATCACGGCTTGGCGCTTCCTGATGTTTGTACCTGCAGGACTTTGATGGAGGCGAAATTGGGCAAGCAGTAACGCAGGCGTTCAAGAACATAACTGGTTCGCAACAAATGTCCTGGCTGATACTGGATGCAGCGCAATTTCCTGGTGGACCAGATGAGGTGGCCCAGGCTCTGCTTGATCATAGATGCTGGGCAGCTGTAACTGGTGCGTATTTCTAAGTCCAATTCGTCATTTCATTACTAAGCGAGAACTAGTCAATCCCCAGGCTTCAACTAACTTGAATGCCTCGATTAATGCAGCCAATGCATCGTATAACACAACCCAAGCCGTGACCGCATACCTTACCAGTGGTCGCAATGAGAACATATAGTCAGTTTTTCCCTCCCTTGCGCATGATCCACATCTCATTGCATCATGCTTACAGTCGAGGCACGATCACCCCACAAGCAAGTCATAGATTTTAGGCATCCCAACAAATTAACTGACAAGTGATATACTTCAACAGGTCATCTCAATATTGACCAACATATCACATATATTTTCACTCTCCAATTCTCAACTTTTAGCGTCGAGGTCAGATATTTCGACACTCCTCCAAACTGCGCCTCTACTGGTAATTCAACCATTAGCCTTCACCATTAATGATATAAGACCGTTCAATGTCCCTGTGTACGCACTTCGGTTCGTGATACTCGTCACCTCGAGTTGATTGGTTATATAGGGCGTCTGCGGTAGACTATGTTGGACTTATCTACCTCCTGATTTTGGCGGTACGTTCACGACTTTCAAAGTTGATATGGATATGTCTAATCCTCTCATGTCTAGTTCGTGTTGACGGTACGACATTCACGTGACGATGGTTTCGGACAATGTTCATTAATATGGCGTGATGATTAGAACCAACTTTTGGCGGCTCGCGTTGAATCAGGCTTTGAGAAACGTTTGAGGTTGCGACCTCTCATCGTTATTCGCCTGCTATGGCCGGTCACTCTCTACTTCTTTGTCTCCGTATGGTGTTTTACTCATTTCCTGATGATTGACTGAGGTGTGTCATCTATAGCTAATGTATTCTCTCTTAAGTTTGGCGTTCGGAGTGCCATTTGGCAGGAAGTGAGTGTCATATTTTTTGATGTAGAATTGCGATCTGACCTTTGTATCTTTCTAAGATTTGGGCACGCAGGCTTTGTCATCTACTGGATGATGTCGTGGTGTAGCATGACCGCCTTGTGAGTTTTCGGCAATGATGAAGCGATCCATATACTCACCAGTGATTAGGGGCCTCGCTCTCGAATCTATGATCACCCTCCTCACCATAAAATTCATTCCAATATTTCTTATCCTGTGGATCATATGTCTGTTTTTTCTCCCATCTCGATGCTCTTCGCTGACTCACGTCGGATGATACAGCTAATGTATCTGTAGCCTTTTATCCGATAGAAGTGCTGCCGGCCGTCTTTCGCTATGGCTTTGCGATGCCGTTCTACAATGTTTCAACCACAGTTCGGGCGATTATTTTTGACACTAAGAACCAGAGTATGTACCCTCAGCCTATCTATATTTAACGCCCCTGTTAAACGAGCACTTATCACACAGTCGGACTGAATTTCGGTGTCCAGTTCTCGTGGATTCTAATCTCTTGTATAACTCTTCCAATATTTCAATGGCTCGTCAGACGACGACAAATCAAGGCTTGGGAAGCATCCCAAAGAGCTGCACGAGAGAAGGCATAACGCGTGCTTCATATCCGCACTCTTTATTTTGGCGACTCAAACTCTGGCTAGGAGGCCGGGTGGACACCTGGAGCCCACAAGCCCTGTGCTGGGCTAGTACTCGGCACATATTCGCAAAGTATACTGCATTCAAAGTACCTTAGATGTAAAGCACTCTACATTTAAAGTACTCTACATCCTACTACAAAAGTTGCATATTAACACGGTACTTCTCACATGCAACCATCAACTTGTTGTCCTGAGCGTCGTCCTGTACTTCCACTGTGTTTATTTTTATCCATTACTACGTTCAAGTTTAGTTGATACAAGCGTTCCGATCACCTTCGGACATTTCCTATTGAGTAATAGATGCTTGTATACACACTACGGTCGCCGTTGTCTTTTCGCCCTCAGTTTCTGCTGGAAACAGCGCCCGAATATCTCGGCGACATCGCACTGGTTGTCCGTGCGCGAAAGAATCCGTGCGAAGGTCAAGCACGGCTCTCTGCAATGTGAGTCCTTGACATCCGTTGAACGTGGTCGCGTATGCAGGTCTGAGACATGTGTTCATCTGCCGTGGTGGTGATCACGCGAGCGTTGATGAAATAAATACCATCTTCAGGTGGTGCGCTTGTCCCACCGAAAATGAAAACAGAGACAGCAAGATCTGCAACAATTCAAGAAAAGAGCACGCAGACGCCATGATGGTAGGTGAATAGGAGCAAAGTTAGGAGAGAGATCAGTGCGGCTGGGATTCAAAAGGAGACCATAGGAGACAACAACTGGAAAGCGGGTGGCGCTCAGCTGGAGCACGCACGTGGGGTAGACACGAATTGCTTCCGCGGGATCAAACGCTCTGTGCTTATATATATTAGAACATATTTCCTTATTTCTTACATTGCAAGGCTAGTCGCTATATACATGACCAATGAAGGTGCACGGAGTCGTTGGTCGTCAACACAGTGATCACGAGTTTTTCGCATGTTGAGTGAAGTCTAATCTGCGAGCGAGTGGTCTCAAGTCGGTGCCATCGGGGGAGGTCAATTTTCGTTTGAGCTTGTTGGGTGCAGCGGCTTTGACGCCTGGCCCTGCACCGGCCATGTCAACGTTACCATCGAGTTCTTCGAGAGGGCGGGATGTTTGAGAAGCAGGTTTAGGCAGCTTGGAGGGGTGTGACGGATGTGGCAGGGCGAAAAAGTATGCGTGGTTGAGAGCGTCTCTTGCGCTTATGCGCTTTCGAGGCTCATACACGAGAAACCTGCTAAGAAGATTAAGCGTATCTCCAGAGGCGGCAGTGAAGAGGTCGCGAAGGGGCGTTCTTGGGAATTGTCCAACCGGCACATAATCGGGCAATTTGGTGTGGCCCTTGTGAGAACATGAGACACAAGCATGACATAGATGATCATGCGAATACACACCGGCCAGTCCTCCTCTGTAGGCGTTCCGAGTGCCCGGAAGATGGTTTTGAGTTGGTCCATGTCGCTCTCACCGGGAAGGTACGGGGTTCTCAACATGAGCTCTGCAAATATGCAGCCTACGGACCATATGTCGACCGCCGAGCTATAATACCGACAGCCAAACAGCAGCTCTGGTGGTCGGTACCATCTGCGCGCGTTGAGGAGCGAAAACAAACCAGCGACTTGAGAGTACGCACCGAGTGATGACTTGACACGTCATTTTATGTCCCGGGTCTGCAAAATCTCTTGCCAGACCGAAATCAGCTATTTTGAGTTGTCCATCCGATGCAATGAGTAAGTTGTTGGGCTTCAAATCCTGGAAGATGTAAGATACAATGAGTGGTGAAAGGTTGTGAGTGGCTTGTAGCATACTCGGTGAAGCATGAAATTTCTATGGCAAAATTCCAGCCCACGCAAGGTCATCGCCATCCATGCTTTGATATCGGCAGGAAGGAAGACGAGCGACCGGTCCTGAATTATCATCTCAAGGTCGCTATCCAGGAATTCCAGCACGAGGTTAAGGTTCGTTTTTGAAGAGAAGACATCCAAAAGCTGCAAGGAAGATGGTCAGTGCTCACAAAGAAAGCAAGGATGTATTGGCGACGGACCTCGATAACATTCTGGTGGTGAAGCTCTCGTAGATATTTGACCTCTCGAATAGCAGACATGTCGAGCCCATCTTTGAATTGTCCAACTTTTATCTTCTTGATGGCGACTTTGCGGCTTGTTGATGCCTCTCGGCCTGACAGGAGTCAGAGAAAGACTTGTTGCCTGGCACATGAGCTACTCCACCTTGGTACACGACAGCGTATGTGCCTTCGCCGACTTTCCGGTCTTTTACCCTGCAGCGTGATGAATCACGAATGAAACTTGCAGAAAGGAGTAAGTTACCATCGCTTTTGTCTCGCTGTGTTGGCTTTTTCAACAGCGTCCATGGCAAATGTGAAGGAAGTATGACTTCTACTAGTAAAATTGACTGGCGTTGGCTGAGCGCAGATCTATTGTACTAATAATAAGTATGTAGCACTAATGTAGCGCCATCTAAAGTGACATGACAAAGCCCGCTACCCGACTTGCCCATAGTTTTGTACCAGGTTTCCCCACTTTCCCGTTACTGTACAATCCTTGCTGACACAGCGGAGGCGAAAGCCTTGCTTGTGTTCGCTCACCCTTTATAAGGACAAAAGATGAATTTGCAAATTCGACTCATCAGAAAAATCATCATAACTATCCGTAGGCCTGTTAAACCCAATGTCGCCTTCTGGTAAAGATACTCGTCAATTACTTGAGAACAAGCTGATCGACGATCCTGCGAATACAGGGTGCACATACCCTTAGACGTATGGTCGATAATCCTATCTAACAATTCATCCTTGGTACCCACAAAGCACAGACCATGCCAGGACGCTATGGAAGTCCTGGATATATGCTTCACCTTTGAAAACAACGATTGCGATAACTTAGACACGGCTTTGTATGCACCCCAACTGCGGAAGATGTTGAGAATGGAAACAGCTCTCCTCCTGCCACGACGGTCTTCTTGATGACAAACAGAGTCTAGATCACTGCAAATACTCTGTGCAACAGTCCAAAGATTATCGCCTGATATTGCAGAGGTGTCCGCACTCATCAACATATCTAATATGCAGTTAGCTAGATCATATGAAGAACTAAAGCCTACTGCAACCTCACAACACGCAGTATAATCGCGGTGCTTGGAACGTGTGTCTGAAGCCAAGCACTCGCCATGGAGAAAATGTTGCAATAACCCGTATGGAATACGTCTTGTACGGTCTGGCCGTATACTGTACTTGTTTGCCTCCCTTTGGAGGCCCACCGGTACGGAACCGCAGCCGTCGACGGTCACCGTACAAACCGTCTATGACGGCAACGGTGTGCAGCCCTAATGGTAGCTATTGATGGCAATCCGGAAGGCGACAACTTGAACCAAGGCGGCAGAGATCATAATGAACTGAGATGAAGGAATTTGGTTGGATAAATATCAAAGGGCTAGAATGCTTGATATCTTCCACGAGGGTAAGCGTGAACTGAACTCGGAGAGCGACATACCACAGTAGACTTTCTCATAACGCATACCGTCGGGACCCCTCCGAGGCTATGCAAATATTGTTTTCTGCTTTGCCCCATGGGTCTGGGCACGCACGTACGCATGTTAAAGGTAAAAGAAGACAAGTTTTTGACACCTGTATTCACTTTAGCTGGTAGGCGGCTGTAACCATATTAAAACATGTACCGAGATGAACTAACACTGCCCCAAACATGACCCGATCCGTGGCCCAAATAAGGCCTCTGATAACGCATGAAGTAGCTTGCATTATGCATGCATATTACCTGCATCCCACAGCGGGACCCACCAAAAGTTGATGCATTATGAGGAAGGTACAACGATGCGCTATACCGATTAGTATTTGTGTGGATCGTCAGTCACGTGCTTGGAAAGTCATGAATTGGGCTGTGACGTTTGGTTGAATGACGTCATCTAACTTCCGAGACTTCCGCTCTGGACTCAGAGTCTGCTTGTCATCCGACATTCCGAACGTATCAGACGAAGTTCCGCTCACAGTTTTAAGGACGGCTACTCAGAGCTATGTTCATCTCAATTCTCCTTCTCAAATATCTCAACCCACACCAGTACTTTGATCGCTAATCGCTCTACCATGTTCGAGAACTTTACAAAAAAAATTGTCGACTCATTATTGGGCTCAGACGACGAGGCCGAGCATCAGTTTCTGGATAGACAAACGGTGGGTCGTCATATTTTCTCCGATCGCAGCCTTCTCATGCTCATCTGTGGCTAGGCTTACATCGAGTCTGATGGTGCCTACATTCGTCCTGACATAGATAGTCACTGGGCGTTTGCAATGGCAGACACAATTCAAGTTTTAGGTTGTGTCTGTATCTGGTGTAGGAGAAATAGCGAATCGGTGAGCATTTTTTCATCAAACATGCCTGAGACATATTGATGTTTGTGCAGGACGGAGACTCGCAGGTGGAAAGAGGACAACCGAGTCAATCTCCACACCCTCACATCCGCCCACGGAAGGTGTGCGATTCGCCAATGGCTACGACAAGTGAGGTTTTGGAGGTGCTGTATCCTCTATCATATCTTGACACCCCTACGGCCCTCGACCCTGAGGCTAGTCCTCCCGCTTACGAGCTGCGACCCACAGTACCTCCAAATACTCCGCAAGACCAACTGCCTCCTATTTCTTCCCGAGATGGCATGGATCTCGTCCCTTTTACCCCTCGTCCTCCGCAACTCACTCCTTCCACGGATCCTGTGTCATCTTACCACTTGTCCGATACTCCTCTTGACGTCGCTGTTCCAAGCTCACAATCTCCTCGTCAACCATCAGCAGGGATTGCGCGACAACCAATCACTGGAAATTTACTGGAGTCTCATGAAGAAGTTGATAATGTCGAGCTTCCGGCATACAGTCAGTTCGATTCTTCACGGCCCCAGTTCCCAGCTGCTTCTGACATCCTGGGACCATACCCGCATATCTCGATGCTTTCCCCGAATCTTGGGTGATCTAGGGGGGTTTGATATAATATACATTGTTCTGGAACTTGTATCAAAAATATATTCCATGTATCCCTAGATTTGCAATGCATTAGACTGGTCGACCTCCTATATTTCCGTGAACGTTTGAACCTCGTTTAAATCACGCGAAAAATGTCACAACAGGAGACAACTCACTAGCATTCCTGCCCAATACAATTATGTCGCATAATATGAATATCATTATTTCACCATAGTTTGGTTCAGTTCCACTTGAAATCGGTTGTATTCGGGTGAATTCTACCATAAATGATAATATTTTACACTATCCTGACCGTTTTGGCCGTGTCCAACCGCGCCGCCGGTTCGCGCGTGTGATAATTTCGCAGTGTCTGCATAAGTATAACTTGCGAATTCCGATAGGTTCACGGAATCGTGTCCTCCCGAATTCACTCTGTGATACCAACGCACAATGTTATGTCATATTGGCTCTGTCAGGCGAATGGCTACATTGCATAGACCTTCGTTAACAGGGAAAAGGTGTGCTAGTCACATCGGACATGATTCAATTCGTTAACGCGAAATTCCAGTCCTACAGGTATGCATCTGATACGTTTCTTCTCATGCATGCTTAACGCATGGTGTCTTCGTCAGCCATTGTTATGTTGAACATGGGGGGACCTTCGACGGTACGTGAAATATTATCTTGTCTCAATTTCTCTTATACTATGTCATACCACTCTCTCACAGGTACCAGAGACCTATGACTTCCTCAAAAACTTGTTCATGGATGGCGACCTTATCCCGTTACCTTTTCAACGCGTTATAGCTCCTCTCATTGCCAAGCGGCGGACCCCTCAAATCGAGAAGCAGTATGCTGACATTGGCGGTGGTTCTCCCATTCTCAAGTATACAGAGATGCAAGGAGCTGGTATGTGTGAACTACTGGACGAGCTGCACCCAGAAACTGCTCCGCACAAACCTTATGTCGCGTTTCGTTATGCGAACCCGCTGACACAGGAGACCGCTCAGAGGATCAAGGCAGACGGTGTAAAGAGAGCAATTGCGTTTACCCAGTATCCACAGTACAGCTGTAGTACGACTGGAAGCAGTTTGAACGAACTTTTCAGACGGGGGAGGGCAGGCGAAATGGGGGACATCGAGTGGAGCGTGATAGACCGCTGGGGTACTCATCCAGGATTCATCGAGGCACGTTCATATTGTCTTGTGCGTTTTTCAGGGTGCTGACAACGACCTTCGATATCAGGCTGTTGCACAAAACATTGAGGCTGCCCTAGCCAAATTTCAACCATCAACACGCTCAGATGTGGTTATTCTATTTTCGGCTCACTCATTACCCATGTCGGTAGTGAACCGAGGTGACCCATATGTCCTCGAGGTTTCCGCATCTGTCAACGCCGTTATGGACAGACTCGGCCACTCAAACCCATACCGTCTTGTCTGGCAGTCGCAAGTTGGGCCTTCCGCGTGGATGGGCATGCAGACAGGGGAGGCTATCAAGGGTCTTGCTCGCCTCGGCAAGAAGGAAGCAATTCTAGTCCCCATTGCATTCACGAGCGATCATATCGAGACGCTTTACGAACTGGATCTCGAGTATCTGAAAGAAGGAAAGGAGGTACGTTGGGCCATGAGTGAATGCTTTAACGACTCACCGACTCACCCATGTGTATACTTTTTTTTTCGCAGCTGGGGATGGAGCTACATCGCGCAGAGTCATTGAATGGATCTCCTGTGTTCATCCGTGCGTTGGCAGACATTACGGCAAAGCATCTGCGTGACTATTCTACGAGGAGGATTGGGCCCACGAGCGTTCAGATGGGGCTTCGGTGTCCGGGCTGTAAAAATATGACTTGTGGCCAGCAGAAACATTGGTTCGCTCGTGCTGGACGTTCCTAGCCGTTCATTCCCAGTCAAAACTCGCAACAGGATCAGCCACGCCCAGACAGCCCGCTTAGGAAACCTGGCTGAGTGTGGATGTTTGAACCACCTCCTGGATATCCCTGCATGACTTCGTAACTAGCTTACTGCCTGGATAGCCCTGTATACATGTGGAGGTAGCAAAATACAACACGAACACTTGCATTGGACAGAATGAGCAAACAATGCAAACAACAATTGCGACAAGAACAATAGCTGGTAGAATAAAAAACATAGGGGACGACCAGCATGAATTGGATAAACCAGTGTGCGGAGAGACTCGCGCTGGATGGCCTGACACGACACAACCACTTTCGTCGACAAGATAGGATGTGGAGCCAGCGCCGTCAAGACGCTTGACTGCGAGGATAACGACCACCCAGATATTCCTTTGTCTAGTCACTCTTGAACCAGTAGTACACCATCGTAGTCGTATCTAGAATTAGAGAAGAGCACAATCAGTTTCGGAGGTGATAATGTGAAGAAAAAACTACCTTGATAATATCTCAAGTTTGCGCTCAAGAGATACAACTTGCTGCTCGAGCTTGATAATCATCTGCTCTAGGGAACGATTCGCCTTCAGTGTAGACACCTCATTTTCGCTGGAGTCGTGCATATATGCGCTAGCTCGCTGGCTATATGCACGCACGAAGTTGGACTGGAAGTCAGGAGGATGATACAATAATGAAGATGAGTCGTCTGCGAACGAGTTTCCGCTGCGAGATGTAGTATCCTGTAGTACTAGTTAGGGGCACACTTGGATAATAGCTATCAACAGCAAATGAGGATAGGTGAGCTATGAGGAGGCTCAGAAGGTATCTGGGAAGACGCATCCGATGCGCTCCTGCCGCCAGAAGGCTTGCTCTGGGTTGGCATGGCGTGACTTTGGCTACTCGCTTCATCGCGAAATTTTGCGGTGGCTTCTGTAAATGCCCCGATAAGTTGCGGATTTTGACTGGGGTTAACGTTCATTGTTGGCTTACTATGGAGAGGAATGAAGGCTGTATCATGACTCATCTGCCAAATCACGAATCGCATGATTCTGGGGGCCAATCAACGCGTTCTGAAGAATCATCAGACCCGAGTACAGCTGCTGACTCAGCGACAAGCCCTTATACTTAACCGTATGATGTCTCTGGATGTACAAATGACACCATGTCTACTATCGTATCAGCGCCGGGAAAAGTACTAGCAGCAGGAGGATATCTTGTCCTCGACCAGCAATATCCAGGGGTAGTGATCTCTACATCTTCGCGATTTTACACTGTTATCCAGGCTTCGTTGGGTTCTGCGAATCAGATCGTAGTCCGATCTCCCCAGTTTCATCAGGCCGAGTGGAGATATACCGTGACCTATAATGCTGCAGGCATTCAGGTAAATCCACAGGAGGACAGGTGAATAACATTTCTATGACACCTTGATCACGCCTCACGTACATCTTGATCAGCATTGGGGGAAAGAATAAATTCGTTCACCTGGCACTCCAGCACACCCTGAATCTCGTATCGGAGATCCATTCTGTAGCCCAGGTGCAAGAGAGGCTCTTCAATGGTCTCGATATAGCTGCTGTGGGTGATAACGACTTCTACTCTCAGCGCGCACAGGTAAGCCTCCTTATCGTTACAGTCATGGTACAAATGTGACCGCTAGCACAGCTGGAGTCGTTAGGTCTACCTAGAACGACAGAATCCCTCTCGCGAATCACCCCTTTTTGTCACAACGGCGTGAAACTGACCGATGTGCATAAAACCGGCATGGGCTCTTCCGCAGCGCTTATCACGTCGCTCGTCTCTGCGCTGCTTCTCCATTTTTCAGCCATAACTGAGACAGATTTTGCCAACCTAGAAGGGGATGGCAGACGCCTCGCCCACAACGCTGCTCAATTTGTACACTGTCTTGCCCAAGGTAAAGTGGGCAGCGGATTTGACGTATCTTCCGCGGTGTTCGGCAGCCAGATCTACAGGCGATTTGGCCCTGCCGTTTTGGACCCCCTGATGAAAGGCGAAGTATGTCATGTTTGGAGCATTTCCGCTTCCGGCGTCCGCTGATTCTTCTTAGTTTGCGGCAGGCACATTGAAGAGCGTTCTGAACTCTAGTGCCTGGGACTACAGTTTCCGACCGATTCAACTTCCTCCGTTGACAAGACTGGTACTGGCAGACGTTGAAGCAGGAAGTGATACTCCTTCTTTGGTTGGTAAGGTGTTAAAATGGAGAGGGCACGAAGACAGCTGTGAAACAGGTACGCAGTAGAGCTATAAAAGTCTGTCGGATACCTCATTATTGTTGTCCTATGCAGCGAAGGATCTATGGACACAGATTGACGAATCAAACCAATCTCTGGCACGGCAGTTGGATGCCCTTTCGCAGTCGTATGTTCAGAACAAATACGTATACGAAGAGACCATCAGACAACTTGCTTCTCTGCCTGCACAAGAAGTGAGTAGGTTTCCTTTCTTGCAGTCCTTGTTCCTCATCGTGTATTACAGTGGGAGAGTATCTCCAAAGCGTTTTATGATTTGCATCAGACTACCCAGGTAAGGAAAGTTCCTCACCATCGTGCATCAAGTTGAATGTGCCCTTTGTTTCTAGCGAATACGTAACCTTATGCGGAGAATGGGCGATCTTGCTGGCGTTGAGATTGAGCCTGAGCAACAAACCCACCTACTTGACAAGTCGATCCAGCAGGCAGGCGTGGTCGGTGGTGGTGTTCCAGGCGGTTAGTTATGTTTCTTCAGGAGCTGGATTATATCCTAATCTGAAAACAACGCAGCCGGCGGATATGATGCCATATGGCTGCTAATCTGCAGCCCGCCAAGTCTTCCGGACGAGCAACAACCCTTGCGCCAAGTTGAATCCGTATGGAGCACCTTCGATGAATCCAACGTGACTCCTCTTCTTGCTCAAGAAAGCGTCGCCAAGGGTGCTCGTGTTGTGCAACTCGATGAGATACCAGGGCTTAGGGAAGCAATTCAACGGCAATGATCAATTTTAAATAGATGTTCTCAATCCAGTGTCCAATCTGTGCATTATTTACTACTCTAGATGTATAAATGTGCAAGCCCGTGGCTGTATTATTAAAAACGAAGGTCATGCCATACACATCTTTGGCTCGCCCAGAGGCATGTATGCTCTTTGGATCACTTGAAGGAGAGATACGGACATCACAGCCACTCCAAATGCAAGGCAGG